GATTAATAGACTGCAGAGATGACAATTATATAAGTGACATACTGCCTGTTATGCTTGCGCATCACTGAGAGTTATGTTGCGGTTACGCATCTTCAATTACATTGCACTGTGTGGTGCTGTAGCTTTGTCCGGTAGGCGTCACGAGCTATCATGTGTTCAAGTTTCAAGTACGTAAGAGTTTTTTATTATATATGTTAAATCGTATTTATTTGTGTCGTATTAGTAGATCTGGGTCAAAGCGTTCGCTGTACATTTTTCCCGGGTTTGATCCCCAATAGCACGACTGAAATTTGTAATTGCAATTTTCGTCAACACGCATTGGGGCAGCGCGGCGGGCATTTCCTTGCCCTAAAACCCTCTCAGAAATAAAAAGATTCCTGTGCCCAGTAGAGTGACTTGTATAGCCTATTACTTTACTTTGTAGCAATATTCATATTCGCTTCAGATACAGAAGGGTATCTTATGCTGACAAAAATATCATGTGGAGGCGATGAAAACGTTAAACGTCTTTGTACCTAGATAAAATGTTCGAGAGATTGTCAGTCATGTCATACGCCACATTTTCAATAGAGCGTAGAACATTGCAGATAGGGCAAAATAAAAAATAATACAAAATATTATGGGAATTATTTATTAATAATATATACATTTATAGGTATTTATAATAAAAATAATGAACAAGCTGCAAGGTTCAACTAATAATGTTTCTTGTAAACACAATTGTAAAATTCCTGTTTTAATTTTTACCAGTGGTTAATTGATGAAACGTAGTCAAGATCACTTCATATAAAATATTTTTAATTAAAATTGACACATGACCTATTTGGTCTTTTACTTACAACTCGGCGAAAATTTGAAAAGATTTTGTCTGTTCTTAATTATCTTCTGTACACCATTTTTCACACAAGTATTGTTTACAACTGGCGTGGTTTCGAAAAGCGTGATTAAGTGTCAGCGGTATATAATCAATTAAATACTGAACTTTTTTAAAATTTATTTTTTGGTTTATATTTGTTATATCTTCTTAAAAACTGACGCCATCTCACTATTTTATTATTTGTTTTTTTTTTGTAACGCATAAGGATAAGTAAGACTAAGTGAGATTAACTTGGATAAGTTTGTAACTTTTTTAATTTTATCACATAATTTCCGCAATAAACTATTAGTTTCGGCGTGACTGTAGGATGTTATAGTGAGTCACCGTCAGTTACTAAGCGGCCATAAATCATTATATGTATGTATAGACATACATATATACATTTTTTGATCTTAATATTTATGTTTTTCGAATTTTGATTGATTTTTTGGAACCGGGTAAAATTATTTTTTTCCATACCAATTGATGGGCCTGAGTATACGAGTAATGCTAGTTATGCTCTTTGGCTGAAGTTATTTTTAATTTTATGCTCAATTGCAGACAAAACTATATTAATTGCGCATCTATAAAACAAAAATTTACCTCTTCTCCTTCTAATAATAGCTCCTGCACCTAACACGGCGGAATAGTTATTACTATCTATAAGACCATTTGCAGAAACAGTTTTTGTTAACAATTATGAGTGTAACATTTTTATCAGCCGCTTTGTTTATAGTGCCTTCAGCAACACTTTGCCGGTTTCTGTACAGAAAATGATGCTGGCTTTGCAAATATGGATGGCCGCTACCATTGATTATAATACCCGCTATGCTACACTTATTTACATAGAAACTTTAATTATCATTTGCAAAATACGCGCATAGACGTGGAGTTGCGGAAAACAGCCCGTCGTAAACTAAACTAAACTAAACTAATTATCATTTGCATAAAATTCTAAATTCTAGTCAATCATTAAGCCATGTGATAAAACTTTTAAGTGTGCCAGTCAAACATTAGTGATGATATCCGGGTCGTTATACTGGAAATAGTCTTTTAAATATTTTGTAGTACAATTGATAATCTTCAGTATGATTGACCGTGTATATGACTTTTATAAGTCTATGTTATTTTTGATGAAAATTATTATTGCAGATAAAAGCCCTTTCACATTTATTTTAGTCTCGAACTAAATTAATTAAAATGAAAATAAGAACTGGCTCTTTATAACTGATCTTTAAATGTAAAACACTGACTTGAAATTATATAATTATCGGCATTTTTTTAATTAATTGAACTTTTTTAAGATTGTGTTGAAAACTACTGGTAAAAAAAATAAACAAATATATATATTATAGTTCTTGATGAAAATAAAGTATGCGCGTTACATCGCATCCCATCAAGAATTTTTAATGTAATTCTTGGTGTAAAGTTAAGACGTGATAATAACTGTAAACAATAGAATAACAAAATAATGAAAACATTTATAAATATTTGCTTTATAGCCTAATAAATATTATTTGACCGTAATAAAATAAAACAAGGTAGTCTTCGGCATGAAAGTAAAAATAAATATTGTCGATTATTTTTGCAATATCTAACAGCCGGATCAGCGGCTGATTTTGATCCATCTTAAGATGCTAAATTTCAGCAAGCACTGTCAAATTCAATAGGAGTGACAGAAAAAAGGAGGTTTTTGATATAGAAGGGTAAATAAATTATTTAACCTATAAAGTAAAATCACTTTATTAAGAATCAAAATAGCCCAATAGCTTTATTAACATGAGATACATATGATACAGATACATATACGTAGGAGTGCTTACAATACTTAACATTATTTTACTGAAATGTCAGAAAGTTTTTTTTTAATAGAATAAGGGTGACAAACGAGCACACAGTCCAGTGGTTGCTATGGCCCATAGACATCTATATCTATTCTTGATTAAGTATCAAAATGTAGATGCGTTGTCACCTGTGAAAACTAAGATGTAATACCTCGTTTCCAGTAAAAAGGTTCTCCGGTTCTCTACACTCACCATACGAAACACAGCAGGATTAAACTGCTATTTTACATGTTATTCCGTGAGAGCGTGGCCCTTCCCCGGTCGAGCCGACCCATTCGTGCTACAACTATACCTACTACTAATATAGCTGCAGCATGGCTCTACCACGTAAGAAAAAATTGACGTTGAAAATGTAAGTATTTTCAGAAGCAACTTTGCAATTATTTTCTATTGAGTGAATTTTTGTGGAATCGTGTTTTGCAAACCGCCACCTGAAATACGTACAATTTTTTTCGATAACGACGTGAAATTACAAAACGATCCCCATGCATATCAATGTGGCTCTATTCAGCCTCTTAATATGGACATACCTCGGGATTCAGAGATTTTAAAAGTTTTTTTGTGTAGATAATGGAAGATATAATATAATATTATTACTGTCCCGTGTGAGGCAACCTTTATACTTATATACATATTCTCATCATATTTTTATGGTTGGTTAGAAAAATTATATCTAAATGCAAATTTTCACAGGGTAATTTTTTTTTACTATTTTTACCCAGCAAGTAGTAAAGCAACTACAATCCCATCGGTAAGTGGTTATGTAGCCTAAGATGGTGAATTGCACTGACTTAACAAAAACCTATTCACTCTTGCCTAATAGTATTACGTAAGTATTATTTGAGACCTATTTGTGTGTGGGTGTGTGTGTGTGTGTGAATGTGTGAAGAAAAGCGTATGAGAATACGTGAAGAGGAATAAAGGTTGAGTACTACTTCGCTTACCTGTACGAGGTTGCCACTCGAGAACTTTTCTTCCTATTTATTATCGGTTTTCCAAGTTATATAGCCAGCCCATTGCCATTTCACTGTAATATTCCGTTGGTCATATGTCAGTTACTCTGGTTCTAATGCAAATATCTTCATTTCTAACTTTATCACGTCGAGAAACCCCTCTCCAATTTAAAATTTTTACATTTTTTAGGTGATAGTTTGTCTAACATTAAAAAAAAACATAAACCCAATAATGTTTTTATATACTTATTTATACTTAGGGAAGCACCATTTAATTTGATAACAGTGTACCTAAATGTAAGTATCTGTATTTATATTTCCCTCCCCAATAATATTTTATAAAGTCATACTCATAAAAACAGCGTTTTATTGTAATACATATTTATAAAATTTAGTATCAACTAATTAATAAAAAATGCAACAATAAAATTACATAGGTATTAAAAACTATCGAAATCTAAGTAACGAGAGCATGTTCGTCGTTCCACATCTAAATTATATAAAAATGCATTTTTCAATTTCACTAATCAACGTCGCCGCGAAAATTTCTTCTTCCTTGGGCACTTTAAAAATTAATTTATTTAGAAAATAATATTTACAGTTACCAGTGTATAGATATTAACTAAATTAAGTATTTCTAGTCATAAAAATATTTATAATTGAGTATAAACTTTTAATAAACTAATATATATTTGAACGAAGTCGCTCCAACACCGACGTGCGGTCCACCCTCGACGATGTCCGAAAACGGACTGCGACAGGGCGATGGAGCATGCTCGCTCGCGTTAATATATGCAATTTCAGGGAAAAATGATATATTCTCTTCTAAAAAGGGGAATAAAAATAAAACTCTCAATTTAAAATATTAATATGTTTAAGACCTTTTTTTTAATGTAAGAACTATTTAAAAAGCTTGTGCCGTTTTGGAGAAATTTTGCAAAATAAGACAAAGATAGGTACTCTTTGGGGATTTTTTTTCTAATAAAGGGTTGACAAAAATACAATTTTGTTAAATTAAAAACATTTACCAAATCCTCTTCTGGTACCCTGTATTTATTTTTGTGGATTAAATGAACAGTTATTGAGATTTTTTTACTTAAATATTCAAGATTTAGTTATTTCAACCATTGTTAAGGCCTTAAAATCTAAATTTATCTGTTTTTTGACATTTTAGCAACATTTTAATGAATTATATAACATAATATGTAAATAATAAATGTAGAAGCCAAGTCCAAGTAAGATGTTGTTAAATTTCAAAAACTGATTAATAAAAGTGAATTTTATTAAATAATTTTATAGAAATATATAGCAGGCTTAAATATTTTAATACTTATGTTTTTGTTTCAGCCATAGCCCTTCGACCATTTGGGCTATCGTTAATATATCTCCTGCTGTACTTAATAGCGCCATTGTCGCAAATACCGGATACGAAGACATTTGGCGGTAAGTTGGCATTCGTATTGAATTAGCTCGCATACTTATTTCGGTAGATAAATTAAAAGTTTTCTTTTTATCGAAAAAATTTATAATTTGCTTTTAAACGAACAGGTAACAGATTAGGGTTTGAATTAGAAATTGTCTCTGGATACCGGTACTATAAATCTTAGTAAATTGTTTTTATTAAAGCCATTACGGCTTTACAAACTACAAAAAATACAAACAGTTAATTGAGAACACGTCGTAATATCTTATCATGCACAGAAATTACGTTATTACATTCTTATAGTACGTGATATGAAAGATATTTTGAAACAAGGTACCTACCTATTAGAATTTTTTACTGTGCTTTTTGCATTTCATACTTTTTATGACAAAAACTAACTTTTCTAGTAGGTACAGTAAGTTTATTACCGTTAAATACACCGTAATATTTCGGTAAACTTTCATTTTTATAGTGAATATGATGAAAAAGTGAAGACATGCGATATAATAAGATCTCGTGCACATTTGCATTTCTAGATGTTAAATATTATATCTCTATCAATGCCTAAACCTTTATCTTTTTGAAGGATGGCGAGGCAGGTACCTCGTGCTAACTGTGGTAGTGTCGTTCCTGTTACTGCTGACGCACGCGGCATGGCACAGCGTGCTAGCATCATTCAGGCCGTACGGCTCGCTGCTAGACGATTACCCGCTGCTGCAGAAGATCGGCCACAACCTTGGCCTGGTGTCCTACGCTGGAATAGAACCACTCATGGCTGTGCATTATTTGGCACCAGAGGTATATAAATTTCCGGCATTGCCATAATTTATTTGTATGGGATTTTAAAAATTTCTGTGTGTAATGGCGGCTAAAAACCCACTACTACTAAAGGTGACAAATGTGCATCCGTTCATCCCATGGTAAGTGGACGATGTGGCTCTTATTCACCTACATCTATTCTCAATTATGAATCAAAATGTAGAAGATGCGTTGTTACCCCTGAGGTCTAAGATTAATGTTACACTTCTAATACGAATAAAACTGTGGTAAAACTGATACAAACAGTTGGTAGGCTGGATAGTACTAGATGGATAAAGTGTTTTCCCAACTTTTTTAAAACTAAAACGATGAATTTTAAAACGGTACCTTAGCTGAATTATATTCAATAAAATTTAATTCAGTTAGTGACCGTTACAACCTATTAAATTCTACTGCTGAACATAGGTCTCGCCTATAGATTGTCTCATATGGTGGATATTTGCCATACTTGCCACGCTCGGCAAGCGGGTTAGCTTGCTACCCATCTTCTGATTTATTTCCCTCTGTCGCCTCTTGCGACACCCACAGGATAATATGGGAAGGTGGATATTCTCACCGCCACTACACTGTATATAAAATGCCTTATTACCACTAAAAAGGATCTCCGGTTCTCTATACTCATCACACGAAACACAGCAGTATCAAGCATCTATTTTACGTTGGTATTCTGTGAGAGCGTGGTCCTTTCCCTATCAGAAAAAGACATTCGTCTTGCAACCATAACATAGATGTGGCGTGGTTTCACCAAGTTAGAAGTCTTAAGAGGCTGCAAAATGAAACGAAACAGAAAATGGGCAGCAGCATCTTCCTGATAACAAGCAAAAATAATAATACTCGCTTGCGTGGCAGCTACGACAAACGGCCCTCGTTTGAGACAATCTATGGGGGAGGCCTATGTTTAGCAGTGGACTTTTGATAAAATCTAATGGAGTCCTTATTAATATATATTGTTTAGGTCATAAACATCTCATAAGGATAGATGATAAACGAGCTAACAGTTCATCCGGTGGCTTACCACCGGATGAACTGTTAACGACTAGCTTATGGTTACTTCTCGTAAAGTAGACAGGTGCGTTGTCGCCCCCTTAGGATAAAGATGAATGTTACACGTTAACAGGAAAAAAACTGTGGTAAAACTCGGTTTCCAGGTTCGGTTGATTTTATCCAGATGGGTGAAGTGTTCTCCCAACTTTTTTAAAACTAAAACGAATAATTTTAAAACGAGACCTTAGTTGACATTGAATTATATTTAATAAATTTTATTTCAGCTAGTGACATTTTTTACATCTTTAACGGTATACCTCATTGTTCGGAGATTGCTTATTGGTCCAAATCCTGATGAAGTGCAGAAGAAAGACTCAAAGCATCAGAGGTATCCCTTGCTCACTAGTGCAGGTAATAACATTAATATTGCTTATTGATCTTATTATGATATCTGATCTTATCGAATCATTAAGACGATTAACCTCTTTAAAACTGTATTTTATTATCTAGTGTTCTTTTATTCAACCGACCTTTAAAAAAGGAGCAGTCTCTCAATTCGTCTGAATCTTTTTTTTTAATGTTTACCGATTACTCGAAGACGCGTGAACCGATTTGGATAATTCTTTTTTTTTGTTTCAAAGGGTATACTCCCCAGGTGTTCCCATTTAAATTTCATCGAAATCGGTCGAGCTATCGAACGGTCGGTTTAAAAATTCAACTATAAATTATTTTTAATATTGAAGTCGGTTGTACAAAATTTTTAATGTTACCATTTGTACAAGTATGGTTGCCCTGTTGACGGCGGCGAAAGAGAATCCATTACCATAATCGGTCCCTTCGTTGTCGTAAGAGGTGCTAAAAGGTCATATGGCTTGCGATAAATGGAGGTATAACCATCTTGTTTATGTCAGGCGCTATATACCAAGTCCGGCGACGGAAATAATCAAAGGTGTAAAAGTGTCTGGTATTGCGCGTAGATCCGTCAGCCAGTGTGACGATGAAGGCAAATCCTTCCTACTGAGATTCATGTCCAGCAGTAGACTTTACTGACAATGAAGAAGAAAAAGGATAAACCAGCATACAGCCCATCTAATGCAAAATAGACGTGGCATATATGGACTTTATGCATCTTCAATTAATAATCAACATTCAGTTTTGATATCACCCCTAAGGACTAATATGTAATACCTTGATAACAGTAAAAATTGTTTTCGTTTCTCGTCTCTGTGTGACCGTGGACCTTGCTCGATCGAGCCGAGTAATAATTGTTATTGAAAACTAGCTTTACCGCGATTTCATACGCGCAAATATGTATCATCTACGAATCCTACTAATATAATATTATACAAATCATACTTTTTGCATAATAGGTATAATCGTCGTCAGCCCGTAAAAATCCAATGCTGGAGATGGACATCCCTCCCCCTAGAGAGATCTTACCTTAATTATGACTCTTGGCAGATGGATTGTACCATGTGATGAAAAGCAGCGGTGACCAAGTCGTCAATAGTCAGAATAAGAGAATAAAAATTGACTGTACTACTCGTATACAGCGAAACCTAGGAAAAATACTATACTGTTATATGAGATATTTCCTTGACCTCGTGTTTGTAATAAGTTTTCGAGATTTGTTTATTTTACACCACAAGAATTTATATAGTGTGAAAATACTTTTAAAAGCCAGTAGAAAAATGTGTTATCATAAATAGAGTTACATTGAATGAGTGCGTAATAAGGAATTCTTGGGTGACGGACAACCTAAATGTTGTGATTGATAACTTTGCGTTCAACGATAGCAGGACTGTTCTGTTTATTTAAGTAGATAAACATTAAATGTGATGACTGTGCTTGTGAGTCAACACGATGTAAATGACCGAAGAAATGCCGTTTTTTGAGTACATTAGAAATCATAGATTAAACTTGCGCTACAAAAATAGAAAGACGCACGTAAAATTCAATTTAATAAAAAATTTAATGTGCGCAACGATCGTAGATTCCCGGCACAATTTATCTTTAAAATTTATAAAAAAGCGGCCAAGTGCGAGTCGGACTCGCCCATGAAGGGTTCCGTAGCAGCAAGTAACATAATTTAAGATTTATGACGTCTTAAAAAAAAACTACTTACTAGATCTCGTTCAAACCAATTTTCTGTGGAAGTTTACATGGTGATGTACATCATATATTTTTTTTAGTTTTATCATTCTCTTATTTTAGAAGTTACAGGAGGGGGGGGGGGGCAACACATTTGACCACTTTGGAAGTGTCTCTCGCGCAAACTATTCAGTTTAGAAAAAATGATATAAGAAACCTCAATATCATTTTTAAAGACCTATCCATAGGACACCCCACACGTATGGGTTTGATGAAAAAACATTTTTGAGTTTCAGTTTTAAATATGGGGAACCCCCAAAATTTATTGTTTTTTTTTCTATTTTTGTGTGAAAATCTTAATGCTGTTCACAGAATACATCTACTTACCAAGTTTCAACATCATAGTTCTTATAGTTTCGGAAAAAAGTGGCTGTGACACACGGACGGACAGACAGACAGACAGACATGACGAATCCATAAGGGTTCCGTTTTTTGCCATTTGGCTACGTAACCCTAAAAATGCGCTTAATAAATAATAATTCTTAATGCCTTATAATAATATAATTAGATAGTGTATCTGTACATAGATTATAAATCGTTCGCGTACGTTGTGTTTATGTTGAGGTAGGGCTAACCCAATAATGTAGATGAAACTATAATAGATTATCTTTAAACGCAATAAAGATTTAAAAATGATCTCATGTAATAATAATTACTATAATTTTGTTATAAGATATTCCAGTCACTGTTAACATTTTAATAAGAAGTTAAAGTAGACTTAAAACATTTAAAAAATATTTCTGGACAAAAGCTTGACATCTTACACTTCAGAAGTGTTGAAATTTGATATTTATTATTTTTAGTTTTTTTTTTAATTCAACTCTTACTTTTTAACTTTATTTGAAGTTTAATTAAAAATAAACTAAAAATAATATCACGAGCCCAAGGTAACAATTAGAATGTCGTCTACTTAGTGATATTAGAAACTTCATTTTCTATTTTTCCCAGCCTTGAGTGTAATTTTTTCTCCGATTTCATAAGGCCGGGGAAAAAGTTTCATCGTATTTTGTTTTTATAAAATTGAAGAATAATCTCTTTGGTTGTACTTACTATTTATATTGGGCTGGTTTTAATATCAATACATAGAGGGCATTAAGAAAACGGTGCGGCAATTTTGATGTCAAAGATGCAGCTCGCCCTGGTCGCCCTCATACGATTAAAGGTGGATGCCATTGAAAAAGTGAAGTAAGATCGGCGCATTAGTAGATACGACATAGTTGAGGTAATGAGGATTGACTACAAAACAGTTTTCATTTGAGAAAGTCTGGCTATACAAAAAAGCTCGATATTTGTGTATCACATCTCACTGAAAGAAACCTAATGAATCGTGTACTCATTTGCGATTCTCTATCGAAACGTAATGAAACCGAACCATTTTTCAAAATATTGATCACTGGTGGTGAAAAGTGGGTAGTCAAACTCCACGGACTGTAGCGAAACCCGGATTAACAAGCAATAAGTGGATGCTGTTTGTATGGTGGGATTGGAAGGGCATGGTTTATTTATGAGCTTTTACCGCCGGGCAAAACCATCAATTTGGATATCTACTGCCAACAAGTAATGAGACTCAAGCAAGAAATTGAGAAAAAGCGGCCGCAATTGATCAACAGAGAAGGAGTGGTCTTTCATCATGATATCGCCAGACCTACCACATCTTTTGGGTTTTAGGCCACTCAGCAGAAATTGAGAGAGCTTGGTTGGGAAGTGTTGATGCATCCACCATATAGTTCTGACCTTGCACCTTCAGATTTTCACCTGTTTCGGTCTTTTCAGAATTCTTTGGGTAGTGTTGGGTTAACATCAAGAGAGGACTCAAAACTACTTGTCGTATTTTTTTTATCTAAAATATCACGTTTTCTACAACAATGGGATTATGTCACTACCTACAAGATGGCAACAAGTAAATGAACAAAATGGCACATATATATTTTAATGAAATGTAATGAGGGCATCCACGACTTTTTTTGCCACCAGGGCGGCGCCACTTTACAGTGAGGTAAATAATTTGACAGATTTCATAGCGGGGAATTTAAATTGTTTGAAATTTGTCTACAAGATTATAATATATTTGTTAAATTTTATCATAATTAAATTAAAAATGGATAAACCAAACTATGGATTCCTAAAAGTAGAAGAATTAAAAAAAGAACTAAAAAGTAGAGGTGCAAAAGTAAGTGGCACTAAATCCCAATTAATTGAAAGGTATGTAGTAACAATTATTATTTATAATGTTATTGTTTTATTTTTACTCAATTAAATTATTTTATATTTGTCTTTAATATGTCTATTTCTTTAAAATTGATTTACTGTATATTCTAATTTACTCTTAACTAAATAATTTGATCTTTACACAGGCTTGAAGATTACGACCGTAATAATAATTTTTGCGCAAGAGGCGAAGAAAATGATATTTCATTAAGACAAATCTATTGCATTGAATGGCCGACAGATTGTGACTATCATAGTGTTACCCAAACTACAGCAGTACCTGATATTGATATAGTACACATCAACACATACTTCTTAGATAGTTATAAAGATAATGCTGGTCTCACAGAATATGCAGCAGTTCATCGTAAGGGTTATAATATGTTAATCAACAAATATCTAATAGCATTAGTGAGTGCAACTTGTGATCAACATTTGTTTTTTAAAGGTCAAGTACAATCTGAGAATACAAAATCACTATCTTATTTTGTGTCTGTTGCATTTTCTGAAAGTGGAAGTATATTGCAATCAGTTTGTGAGTGTGTAGCTGGTAAAGGCCCTCAGGCGGTTTGTAAGCATGTTTGTGTAATATGCTATGCAATTCTTAAGTTTAAAGAACTTTGCTATTGGCATATCAGGCAGACTCCAACACAAATAAAACAAAAATGGCATGAACCAAAAAAAAGAAATTTGCAATTATCTCCTAAAAAAGCATGTGATATTTCATTTGAGATTCAAGAGTATAACGTTTCAAAAAAAAAGAGGACAAATTTGTGTTATGATCCACGACCGATTAATAGAAAGAATGAAGAGTATTCAAGTGACTCAATTAAAAGTAAGATTATAAATTACTGCAGCTTAAAGAAAAAACGGTTGGGTTTTAATGGTATATTTGAAATTGCATGTATGGGTGCACTGGTGTATGATCATTCCTACCTTGATAAACCTCTCCACTACCAAATCATCTTGAATAAAATTAAAGTGAGTCTAACATTTCCTATTCATTAATCCTCGATGCATTACTTAAGCTTAATTTCTATAGTAACATATTATTATTATAGATTTTAGGTATCTCCGGAGCAAGCCAATACTATAGAAAAACTAACAAGAAATCAAAATAAAAACAAAATTTGGCATGCAGAAAGGGCACTACGTGTCACTGCGTCACACGTTGGGGAAATATGTAAATTCACTGATAAAAAAGATAAAACAAAATATGCAGAAGGTTTAGTATTTCCTAAAACTTTAAAAAATGAGGCTGTTCAGTGGGGAAAGTCCAAAGAAAATTTAGCCATTCAGTGTTATGAGGCCATGTCGAGGAAAGTTGTGACACATAGCGGTTTAATTATTTCTTGTGAACACCCCTTCATTGGAGCATCCCCAGATGGAATAATAGATTACAATACAGTACTAGAAGTAAAATGTCCCTATTCAATAAAAAATGATTTGATAACACCTAAAAATTATCCACACATATTTATCAGTAATAACAAGCTACAACTTAATGAGAACAGTAATTATTTTTATCAGATACAAACCCAGTTACTTGTCAGCAGGAAGTCAGTTTGTGATTTCTTCATATGGACTAATTGTGATGAAAAAAAAATTGTGGTGCACAGGAATGACAATATTATTAACATTGTTATAATCCCTAAAACAACAGAATTTTATTTCACTTATATGTTACCTCTTATTGCAAAAAAATTTTATGATATAGATTAGGCAAAAGATATTAAAAAGACTTGTTAATTTACTTTTTTCATTTTTATTTAACTTTATTATACTTACTTTATTTTAGTTACTATTAATTTAATTACTTTTGATTTTTATTTAAATTGTTGTTATGAATATAATAAACAGTGTATTAATAAAAACCATTTTTTCCTTTAACATGGAACTCTTAACCTTTGGAGTGTTAAATTAAAAGAACTTATATTTTTAAAGTGTTTTATTTAATATTTCATAGTATAATATTTGACCTAAAATTTGCCAACATAAAACAAACAAAAATAATCCTGCTACCTAGAGGTACTAAAGTGGATGTGAAGTTACAAGATAAAATTTTATATGTCTTGCCCAAACCTATTACTCTTTCTACCTAGTATTCTATTTGAGGATATTTTTTTGGATCTTTGTAGTTGGTGTGGTTCAAACTGTCCATTAGTTTTATTTAAAAATTCAGGCATGTTTACTGTAATGTTTTTGTGACACACAAGCTCTTGTATATTAAATCCTCTGTCACCAATAATAATATCTCCGTTCTGCAACAAATCTATTAATCCACATTTTTCAAATAATTGTCTGTCACTAATAGACCCACCATATGCATCTGAAACAAATGTTACACATCCAGTTGCAGATACACCAACAAGTACTTTAAGAGTGTTGGTTGATTTATAATTTGAGTAAGTTAATTGTTGAGAAGCAGGATTTTTGGGTTTCTCAATTTTTATTTCTGTACAATCTATTATAATTGTACATGTATTGGTTTTGCCCAAAATTTTCATATTATTGTCTAGTACTTTCTTAGAAACCCACAAATTTAGATCTTTCAGTTTACAGTACAGGTAGTTAATCCACGTTATAAAAATATTACTCACTGATGACTCACTGATTTTAAAGCGAAAAGACAATTCTATATTTGAGGTATTTCTTCTAAGTTTCATAACTGTGAGAAAAACTCTTGAAAGGAGTGAGTACATGAGCACCATGCGATGGTTTCATTGTAGGATAATACTTAAGTTCATTTACTTCCTCACCAAATAAACTAAATATGAACATAAAATGCTCATAATCGTCACATCCTGTATAGAAATGTACTTCCTTAGGTCCACTTAAATTTTGTATACAAAACGAATCCATATTTCTAATGCATTTTTCTGAATAAAGATGTGGTTGTTTTTCAGGTATCATAATATTCTTACATAGATCACCTGTAGAGCACTGTATCCCTATGTCTTTGAACATACTTTCAATTTCCACTTCAACACATCCTATATTTTCTTTTGTACTGCGGTTCTGGTACCATTGGTCAAGATTATATACAACTTTCTTTTCTTGCTCTTCTCTCTTTTGTCGTCTTCTAATGACTCTTTGATAGCGCTCGATCTTTTTTTGATCATTAACATGAGAAATATTCCAGAAAAACACGCTTGGCACTGCCTCTTTTTTCAAACGAGGAGTTGCTAAAAATCAACGAGATCATGACAGTAGAAACGATGTTCAAGGAAATATGATTAGTACATTGATTTACTCAAATAGGTCTCTAATACTAACGATTTTGGCACGTTGAATCCTTTGGTAATGTATAGTCTTCAGAAGTGAAGTGATCTTTGCAGACTACTGAATGTTTTGAAAGGATAAAGTTTTGTCTCCGTATAGCTATTATCCATCTTTTTAACCGAGATTTATCGCAAGGAAATCTGTGACCACCTTTGGCTGATGAACAGTACGGTACAGCACAACATTGAGGCATCGTTTTGTGTATAAACGTACACTAGAAGCGTAAAACTTTTAAATAAAACACAATTTTCCTATGTCGATTGTAACAATGACAGATAAACATTACCCACATTACCTCAGTTGCTACCAGCGACATCTGGTGAGCGGAAAATTATTAGCCCTCATTAAACGATGAAAAAAATGTCTTGAATTTGTAAGTATAAAATTACGAAGAAACTTTTTCCCCGACCTATTATAACACCATCCCTGAAGTATATTCTATTTAATAAAAAAAATCTAATGATTAATAAAAAAAATCTAACGATGATATGCCGGCCGAGAGACTTGAAAATTAGGTACATATTTGACGAAACTATCGCTGTCGCTCTGCGAGCGCTCGGCATCAGATAGGACTACTGCAGATCCAACTGAATAGCCTAAGTAAAAAGGCATAATTCGAGGTTTGGCTCTTACGATTTCCTCCTCCAATATTGGACCAATTTAAAAGATATTGCATAAACTGAATAAGAAGGATATACACTGTGCCCTATATTTTTCTTTTTGCAGTATTAGTTATCACATTTGGACACTAGGCCTATGTTGACAGCGATCTAAATAGGCAATTTTGAGCATTTTGTTCCAGCATTGAGTTCTAGTGCTTATAAAGATAATGTATCATCAAAAAGGAAAACATAGGGACATAGAAGAGGTTGATATTTATTTTACTGCAAAAACTCATTGCTATAATGGCATAAACTAGACAGATAACAGGCGAGAGCGTTTGTATGGAGAAAATACCATCCGCATTTCCTCTTATAATCAGTTCGCAAATAACGTAGGTATCGTCTTACATATGTATGAGTACATTATAAAATAACGTTGAATATCGAAACTAGAACCTTCATTTTTTAGAAATAATCTAAAAAGTAAGAGGTCGTAGACTGAAACTGGACGAATCAATTTCAAACCACCTAAATCAAATGTGCTAACTTTTTAGATTGAGATCTTATCAGTGTGTTGAATTTAATGGCAGATGTGAGTGGGATTTAAAATTTTGTTTAGAATTGGCTACCAAGCACTCTGAAAACTCCAAACTTTAAACTGAGTTCCTGTGTGGAAACTACTTCCTGTTTACTTATTGTATTATAAAATAGGGACTTGCCATGTTATTTTAATTTTATGCGGCATCGAATATAGCTAATTAAGAAAAATGTTAGTTATAATCAGAAATGCCAGAAATTGTAAGGATATCACACGGGTAAACTTCTACCGCCACGCATCCGCAATGTTGCTGGTGTTCATGGGCGACGGTGGTCACTTATAACGAGCCGCAAGCTTGTTTGCTTCCTCTTCTATAAAAATATATTTATTTATTGCCAATAAATAAATATATTTTTATAACATATGTGTTTAACTTTTTCTATTAAGTGGTTCATCGAGTTATCTATTATAAAATTTTCAATATTCTCACTCAGAATCTTGATCTTTTCAAAAAGAGTTCAAGCGTGGATATTCCTTTATTTAGAAAAATATGCATAAAAATAAAAAAACGGTAAGCTAATTTTATTTTAAACTTAGCTTACTGTTTGGAATGTCATATAATATGTCAACTGGAGTTATACAACCTAATAACATTAATATACTCTAAATTCCGAAATTAAGGCGGATTATTCCGATTGATATCCGTATCCAGACCTGCTCATAAATCAGTTTTCTTATTAATAATTTTCTTGAAAGTGACATCGTTTTATTTGCAGGAAAGTATATAGCGCTATTCCTAATAATGTTCTCCGGTATTATGCGGCCGAGTGTTACATCGGGTATTTATTACCTGGTGTTCATGGGTGCGGCGACGGCGTGGGCGCTGGGGCGGCCGCTGGAGCGCGGGTTCGCTGTGGTCAGCCGCTGCCTCATGGCCATCATGGCCGCGCACATCGCCGTGCTACTCGTCTACCAGTGTTCTTGGATTATCGACATTTACCCGCCGGATGAGAATTTCGCCAGGTCTGTAGTATGTCCGTAGTAGTCGTAGTATGAAGGATAACTTTTATCATAATAGGTAATTTAATTTTATAAATTTAAAAAATAAAATATTGATGTTAACATGCCGTGTTATTTTGTTGATAATATGCCGTGCAATGCGACCAACTCTACAGGGACAATTTTAAAATTGTGGCCGCATACTTTCACGAATAGCTAAAAGGGCAGCTAACATAGTTTTTATGTATTCAGTAGCAAATTACTTTTTTGTGATGTTTAGAAACAAAATTACATCTAGTAGCTTTTTTAATTTCCCCATAATTGGTGTACCTCTTTTAATAGTTTCTGCTATTATAAAAGTGTTTCGATTAGGTAGGTCAATGCAATGTAATGATGGTAATTCTTTATCATCATTAGAACAGTCTTTTTAAGTCACTAATAGACACGTTATGTACATCTGTCTTCTGAAGCATAGCTAGGATAGCGCAGCCGGCACATTCTTAAATGATTTTCTTTATACTCACCACTTTGTTATGTGTATTGATGAGCACAGACCTGATACCCTCGCGTAGGTATTGCTGCTACCCATCACCAGTCTGTGATATTGGGATTCAACATTTTTCCAAGGATTTACCGCTATCCGTCGGTCATAAGGGCATCGTCCATTATTGCATGAAGGTGAGGTTGGTATATGAAGAAAAAGTAGACTCTGATATTTAATATTGGCTACATTAAAGTTTTTATACTATTTTGTCCACAGATACTTTGGCTTAACGAAATTAGTGATAATAAACGACACAGACGCGCAACACTTCACCTACGAAGTGACGGATGATCACATGTGGGCAACACTCGCAAGTCCCTTAGTCATACTTTTTACGTACTTCTTTCTTGCTATTGAGAGCCGCGAACTGTTTAAACCGAAGGTACGTGCCAACTTCTACTATATTGTTTTGTGATAAGAAAATTAAATAAAAATTCCCTTACTAACATAAACGAACGTAATAACATTACGCTTTTTAGTATCATTATTCGAGTTTGGCTGTAACACTGACGCCATTAAAGCTGAAATGCCTTCATACTGCTGCCGTAGATAGATGATTTGATATATCACTGTATGTCATAGTAATTATGTTATTTGTGCAATCTAACTGGGGGGATGTAGACGAAGAAAAAGAGCGCCTTAACTGGTGTAGAGGCGGGGAAAGTGAACGGTTCCTTGGTGCGGGGCGTCTCGTTTCACCGCAGCCGCCGCATCACAAGGGACAAGTGGAAGAGCGCCTCTAAAAAAGTTCGAGTAAGCGCGGGCGAAACCACACGCACTAGTTTCAATGTATTTTCAGTTTTATTTGTATGTGTATAAAGCTGTAGGTTCTTTAAAAGTTGTTATAGCACAATTTTCTTTTTTATTTATAGCGATTTAGCAAATCGTGTAGTGTACAGTAGATAAATTAATTTTATACTTTTGTAAGTAACATTTCTACGCACTTTTAATATTTCACCACACGCATTAACAGTTGATGAAATGCATTGATGAAAAGGCATGTCTTGTACTACTAACACTGACGGTGTAGGTACACAATTATATTTAATGTTTGGTGTTTTTTACGGAAAATTCTTTTTATATGTTGTTTTTTGCAACCTGCTTTTTTAATTCTTTTGTAGGTTGCATATTCATACATAAATTCCCAAGCACTGAGCGGGGACGCCGGTGAGAACACACCTGTATGTATTTCCTATTTCTTTTCGTTTTAAAATCTGCTGTTACAAAAAAAATTGTAACATTGCAACCACGTCTGCTTTCATTGCTTTTTTCGAATGATTTTTATGTATCAAGTTCATACAACGCGCAATGCACACAACGTTATGTCTTATTTTATAAAACTCCATTAACCACTTTCAATGATCCATTATGAATGTTGTTTGTTTGTTTCTATAACAAACAAATTTAATTGTTTGTTTAAATTTGTTTGTTATAGATATTTAATATTTGTATTTTCTAAGTAGGTATTTTATTGAGAACTAGGTACTTTAATCAATATTGTAGTTGATCTTTCTATTTTATTGTGAGTATTTAATATTCAGTTTTCCAAACATTTGATTATTTAAATAATTTTGTGTACTTATACAATATGGTAGATAATTAGAACATTTATATATTTTATTTTAGAACAGTTGATATTAAAAAGAGTAATAATTCTTAGGTTACTTTTTAAATGGTATAAATGTTAGGACGTAGATATATTTGGCCAGTGCTTAATAGAAAAGTTGAAAATGTGTATTAATGTACGGACGTGCGCAGCTGATCCGCACCCGGAGCCCGAGCAAGCGCTGGGGCTCGCGCTCCGCCTCGCGCCAGCTGCACCAGGACTCCACCGGCTCCGTCGTCGTGCCCGACGATGGTACGACAACTGACACTAGCTCTACTTTTTCTATTTTATATAAACGATACCTCCATTCTAGTAATTTCTCCTTTATAGTCAAGGGTTTTATCTACAGAAATTGCACATGGACAAATATTTAGACCTAGACCAATTAATATACGCCATACAAATAGTTGTTTCTGGCGGGACTCGAACACCTGGCCCGTAACATACATATAATATATTCATAAATGTTTAGCTACCTCACTACCAAACTGACATATTATACTCAATATTTATTTATACTTTACTAAAAATTAAATAGTTAAATTACAAAAATCGCCTTGCATAAAATGGTGAGTATACCTAGTTCGAACAACATCTTTCTCACTGCCATAATTCTCGTATCACTAATATCACTATACTCAAACACACTACACACACACACACTATAAATCACTACACTTGAGATCGGAGTTGTGTTGGCGGTAGTGATAGTGCTCGCCACGTGTGATAGACATTGCGAGTAAGAAATGTTTTTCAAACTAGGACTTACCTAGTTTGAAATACACCTCGTCCTCTTCCTCCCGCCGTAGCCTGTAAACGATATACTGCTGGCCATGGCCTCGCCTATGATAAGAAAATGAACATGAACCGCATGCTCCGTTAACTATAAAAACAATCTTAGCTAATTCTGGTCACCAAGCTGGATATTTCTTAACAGATAGGATATACCCAGCATGGCATGCATGGTGACCAGAATTATCCTCACGGGAGGATTACGAATTGCTTATACGAGGGCGGCACTGAAAATTTCGGGAATCAAGGAAGTGACACAACATTACTATTTAAAAATGTATTTATTGCTTTTTGAAGTATTCTCCGCGAAATTTGACACATTTTTCCATACGATGGAACCAATCATTGAAGCAACCATTCCATTCGGAAGTTGGGGTCTCCAAAATGGCCGTTTTGTAGGCGTCCACAGCTTCTTCAGGTGATGAAAATCTCTGTCCACGCAATTTATTCTTTATTTTAGGGAAAGTATAGAAATCATTAGGGCTTAGGTCGGGGCTGTACGGCGGATGGTCTAATAATTCTATGTTTTCTTGCTCTAAAAACTCTTTTGTTCTGTGTGCGGTGTGAGAACTCGCATTGTCGTGATGGAGGATGATGCGGCGGTTGCAGTTCTCTTTATGGAGTTCAGAAATGACCTGTGGCAAACAAATGCTAGCATACCATTCTGCATTAACCGTTCTTTGTCCCTCAAGAGGAATAGTCGTAACATGGCCGGTTTTGGAGACAAACGTGGCCACCAGTTTTTTTGCAACTTTCCGTGAACGAACAATTTTTGTTGGCTTTAACTCATTTTCGAACACCCAAACTCGTGACTGGTTTTTTGTTTCGTGTTCGTACGCGTATATCCAGGATTCGTCACCTGATACGATGTTGTATACAGCATTTGAGGATCCTGCGTGGAATCTTTCTAGAGTTCTGACGCACCAAGTAACGCGAGCCGCTTTTTGCTCTTCACAGAGCGAATGCGGTATCCATCGGGAAAACAACTTTTTTACACCTAATTGTTCATGCAAGATTATTTGTATTTGACTCATGCCAATGTCTAAAGTTGCCTTATGTCGATCTTCCTCTATCAGCTTACGCACAGCATCAACGTTTTCTTGGGTGACTGCAGTTTTTGGACGACCTTGACGGGGATCATCACTGAGCTTGACACGTCCACGTTGAAATTCAGCAAACCAGCGATAAATTGTGGTTTTGGATGGGGCTTCATCATCAAATGCAGAAATCATCCGGTCAACACACTGTTTTTGTGTTAAACCACTTCGAAAGTCATAATAAATCATCGCTCTTGAATTTTCTCGAGTCAATTCCATTTTCTCAACGACTAAACAAGTTTGATAAAACCTTGTGGCAAGACCGAGAATCTTTTTTTAAATAAATAAATGGTATTCGATTTTTAAAACCAAGGAGTTTTCATTTAAAAATATTTTAATATGACAGGAACAGTGGAAATATTCTATTCCCGATACTTTTAGTGCAGCCCTCGTACCGCGATCTATCGAAACTGACAAGATGTTTGTGTTATTTCTTTAAGTCGCCTCCAACGACAGCCATGTGATAAAGATGGGTTGTCTTATGGTACTAATACACGATGTAAGTATCTATGTAATATGTGTGTATTGTATCTTTTTTCCATTTGAATATAAGCGTAACTATCTCATAATTATTATCATGATTTTTTCAATTCAATGGCAATTTATAGCGGAGGTCTATGTTCAGTGGATTTAGATAGGTTGTAATGATGACACAGAGTATAGGATTTGATGTAAACGTGTGATCCGAAAGTTGCTTATGTCCATCTATCGGAGGCCACAAAATCTCCAATCTATTTTTTTTCTTATGTGGCCACCAAATGATGAATATAGAGTACATTCGTAGCACTATAATTTTAGCTTATAATCACTTGATAACTTTCGATAGTTTTGACGTTACCATATAACATATTATAATTATACTAGATATACATATTTTTGTAACATTATTGAAATTGTTACCTACATTGTCACTAATCTTATTATGTATGATTATTTTGATTCTTATTTTTCCTATATTTAATACTTATAGTAAAATTAGTTATACTCTTTGTATATGTTTTTCCCTCAAAAATGTATTATTTATTAATTTTGTCAGAATCCGTAATTGAGGACGAAGAACCAACATTAATGGACGACGTAGTTGCTGCTATTATAGACTTTTTCCAAGTTTTGATCAGGTAAATAGTTAGACGAAACTGCAGTATTTTTATACTGTCATTAGTATACAGTAACTTAAATAACATATTTGTATGCACGTATCGTTCACCAGTTCAAGGTCTTCCTTATACGTTTTAACACGTTCCATTACAGATGAGCATTGTTAAAGCACGGTTATATTAAAAAAAAAAACTGCGTTGCGCTCACTGTAGCGGTCAAGTATTCGTGATGGCGTAAAACTTATTGAACTGTAAACTTTGCGTTTTATAAGTGTTAGTAATATGCATGGCGGACAATAAAAATGATTATGTCCGAGTTTCTTCTTAATGGTAACGATAGTAATTTAGACAAAGAGTCTAGGGCCATATTATGGTTTTTGAATTCTATAGGACCCAAAAATACTGAATTCGATCCTTCCTCCAAGCATTACTGGAAACTTTAACTGTTTATTATTTTAAAGTTATGTTTTGCCTCGTTCTTGGCTGCGCTGAAAATAAGTGTAGTGGGTGCTCGCAGCTTGTGATGGGCTGTAGTGATGATGATGATCATTTAGAAATTAAATATATCACTAAATAATTACACAGACCCAATGTAGTAGTTACGACTAAAGTCCAGTATGTAGTAAGTAGCGAAATTATAATAATTCTAAAAGATAATTTCTATTCTGAACTTGCAACCGTAAAAGAAGTTAATCTAAGATGTTGCGTAATATTGTAAACATTAATATATTCTATTTTTATTCGTAATTTTTGGTATTCTTTAAAAGTATGTAATATGTAAAACGCAAGAAATGTTTTTTTTTGTCCAGTGAAATAGTCCAAGAGCTGGCGGCAAAAATCGACAAGAGTTTAGTAATGGCCCATAATTCAATATGGTTTAATATTGAAGGTGTATATGAGTCAGCACCCACTCGCAAGGCCAGGTAGTGGAACACCTGGCGGCGGCGCGCTTTGATATATGTAAAATTACAACATGCTCTACAAATGTTTAGTAATAATTGAAAATGGGCAAGAAACTAGTTTATACTATAAAAAAGGGGAGAAAGTGGTCAGACCGCCTTTTGTGAAAAGTCAGCACGCCACATAAGTTGTCGTCGGAACGATGTCGGTGCAAGAGCTTAGTAATAATTGAAAATTACCATACTGCTTTATTATATATATTATATAAAAGCTTTTAAAAAAAATTTAATTCGCAAATATCCGCGTTATAAAATAAAATGATGTGTCTTACCTAGTATGAAGAGCACCTGCCGCCCTCCCTCAATTGCGTGCACTATCTCCGTCACCACTAGTCCCAGCACCGCTACTCCCAACACCACTACACTAGGCAAGACACACCACTGGCGAAACACGTGTCGTATTATCGTTCTGGGACTAGTGGTGACAGGGATAGTGCACGCAATTGAGGGAGGGCGGGAGGTGCTCTTCATACTAGGTAAGACACATCATTTTATTTTATAACGCGGATATTTGCGAAGTAAATTTTTTCTAAAAGCTTTTATATAATGGATTTCCGCAAAGTAACGCCTGATTCTATTAATTATATATGTTATAATATATAATTTAATTAAAAAATAGTCAGACCACAAATTGATGGAACGGAGGTAGTCAGCAGTCGCTCAAAGTGCGCATATCGAATACGCGCGTTTGATGTTCACTTAACGGAATAAAAACTATCCTATCTCTCAAGTTGGACCAAACTGCACACAGTGTGCAAAATTTCATTGAAATCAGTTCAGTAGTTTAGGAGCTCATCGCGGACAAACAATGTGACACGTATTTTTTATATATAAAGATAAACAGTATGGCATAATACTTCTGCTAGCACTTTTTCTAGTCAACTTATAGTTGATACTTGCTAATAAAAACACCAACCCAGCTACCACCTAAATACTACCTGAAAAATAAAATCAGTTAAATAATTGCAAGCAAATATGAAATAATGAAAAATAATATTGTTTGTTGAAATGAAAAATTTAAATATTTATACTTATTTATATTTTAAAATTTTACCATACTAATTTTATTAAATAAATCTTACCTTAAACAAAGAAAATAGTCAGGTTAGATATTTAACTAAAAAATAATTTTTTTTTTTTTTTAGTAAAGTATTATAAATATTATAAAGTATTTACTCTTTCAAATGTTCAAACTAATATTTCAGGTCGTCGTACATAGCGACAACGATCACGATGATGGCATGGAGCATAATGTTCCACTCGTGGCTGACGTTCGTGTTCCTCATGTGGGCGAACGTGGTGTGGCTGTGCCACAACCAGCGATCCTTCATGCTCAAGACGAGCCCGGTGCTCGTCTGCTATGCCATGCTGCTGCTTCTCGTCCAGTATATTTATGGAATGAATTTGTATGAGAGCGAGCTACCGTCCAATATAACGGTTTGTATTCCCTTTATTTTGAATGCTTAATTAATAACTTCCCAGTCTGCGAAAAAGACGCAATAATTAAACCATCGAAATGTGCTTTCCGTTACATGCTAGATTTTATTATTTTTATTTTGAACAAAAAAGAAACGTTTACCCACATTAGGTATTTTCCTCTATTGTGTTTTATGTACACAAATTGCACATAGACAAACAATGAGACTTGATTAAGTCTTCCTCGTATATCATAAAAGGCTAAAAGCATCTAGTTCTATACTCTAGGCGTATACGACAGAGGACTCGTCGCTGCGTGATCCGTTCGTCATCTTTTTCATAATTTTTGTGAAACTTGTTTGCAATATGTTGATACATCACATTACTAAGTTTTCAGGAGATTTTGACAACTGCTTACAGACCCGTAGACAGTTGATGATGATTGTATCTCCAATTATTAAGGCGCATAAGCTATAATTTGAGGTTTTAGAGCACTTCTTACGTTACTCTCTCCACTAATAGTTTACATGAGCAGACGCGTAATTTACAAAATATTAAATAATTATTTAAACGATAAAACAGAAGTTATGCGGCTAAAACTTAATATATTTTAAGTGTAACATTACGTTTGTGGTTTTTTTATATTTGCGGCTCGAAGTGATACGTAGGTCACTCAATAATTTTTCAGATGCTCGAAATTTAAAAATGGAACGCACCCGTATTATTTTTTTCTAAAAAGCAAATTTATTTAAAAATAGAACTCCATAAGCCAATTGCTCAATATTAAAAAAAAAAACAAAGTTCTATTAATTTTCCTGCAATGCTTCCCGCGCTTTTCATTTAAAACGATGGATTTTAACCATGAACATTTGCGCGCTATGATATATTATGATTTTAAATTTGGTTTAACCGAAAAATTATTTACAACGGTTACAATCAGCATCAAGGGACTCAGCTCCATCATGCGCAAAAATTTTCAGGTGGTTTACTGAATTCAAAAGGGGTAAAATTAATCTTAAAGATGACCAAAGAACCGGGGCCTCGCAAACAGCAGTAACGGCAGAAAATGTATCAACTACTGAAATGTTGGCGCGAAAAGACATATACGGACATCGAAAAGATTGTAGGCATTAGTTCGGGGAGCATTCATACCATCCTACGTCACTATTGACGTAGGATGGTATGAATGCTTGAATGATATATACCTAGTCAGGTCATAAATTCTGTCACATGTTTAATATAAAATAATTGCAACAAGTTTATTCATTATGTAACCATTTATATACTATAATGAACTTAACAAAACATAGATTCTTATGACACTAAAGTTTATTCAAAATGACCTCCGTGATTTTGAATATAGGCCTTCAATCTGCGCGGCCAGTCGTCTATCGCAGCACGAACGAGGTCCATGTCAATATCGGCGGCTGCCTTAATCAAGGATGTCTTGAGTGACTCCAAATTGGGATGAGGCTTTGAGCACGCCTTTTCCTCGAAGTGTTGCCATATCTTGTAATCTAACGGATTCAAATCTGGATTGGAGGAGGACCAGTCTTCGTGCCGGATGAAGTCGATTTCACGCGCCGCCAGCCAGTCTTGTGTGCTCTTCGCTCTATGAGCTGGCGCCGAATCTTGTTGAAATACCCAGTGCCTGTTATTGATCATGGTATGAGAAACAGGTTCCACAAGGTTCGTCAGGACTGTATTTTGATACACAACTGCATTCGTTTTTACACCTTTCTCACAAAAATGTACCTCTGTTAAGCCCCAATAAGAAACTCCCAACCATACCATGAGCGAGGATGGAAAATGACCTCGTTGGACACGCAGAATACGGTTGCTCGCTTCTTCACTACTGTGTGCGTACACCTTATCATTTTGTTTGTTGTAGCTCTCTTCTACGGTAAAAATTTTTTCATCCGAAAAAAGAATTTCCCGATATTTTTTTCCCGCGTACCGCTTCAACAAAGCGCGGCATCTCTTCAGTCTCAGGTCCATTAGACGAGCATTCAATCGATGTCCTGTTTTTCTTCGATATGCCCGAAGCCCTAAGTCTTCATTTAACACCCTTTTCACCGTGGTTCTGCTTAACCCCATCTGAAGGGCCAACAGTTTCTGCCTACGTTTGAGATTTCTTTGAATTAGCGCCTTCACAGCTTTTATCACTGCTGGAGTCCTAACAGACCGAGGGCGACCACTTCTTGGCCTGTCATCTACACTAGAGTCTTCATTGTATCGTTTGATGGTACGATAAACGAATCTTTTGGTTATATTCAAATTTTTCAGTATGTCAAAAATTTGAATTGGCGCGTAACCGCAACGATGCAACGCAATAACTGCAACACGGTCTTCTTTAAGCGTCCACTCCATATTTAAAAAGTATACAGTTTTATTTTCATGAACAATTCGAAATTCGAATTCAATAAACTTTTTTGTGGCCAGCATTCTAAAAGAAAAGTTTTTACTGTGTGGCAATACTTATGACCTGACTAAGGTATATATTATATGAATGCTTGGAGTGAGGAAGCTTTGTTGTCGATGGATCCCTCGTTTGCTCTCCAAAAGCGAAAAACAGACTCTTGTGGATTGGTGCCATGAAATGCGTCTACGTTTTGAAAACGGGGCATCTGGCGTGTTTCAGAAATCGTTATTGGTGACGAGACATGGATCTATCAATATGATCCGGAAAATAAAAGGTTTTTCGCGGAGCGGTCATTTGCCGACGTCAATGCTGCAAAATTGTAGGTTAGCCAACTCTGAATGGTATACTACAGTTGCATTACCCAAAGCCCTAAGGTTTTCAAGCTGTGCGGGAGAGAAGACTAAAGACCGGGCTTCGGGGAATCACGCTGCATCACGATAACGCCTCTTCACATACCTCCCTTAGAACAAAAGCATGTATTGAGGAATTTGGTGTTCAAACTCTAAGTCACCCACCCTACAGCCCTGACTTAGCTCTTTGTGATTTCAAAGAAAAAATAAAAGGCAAGTTTTTTCAAGCGCCGAAGAAGCCGTGGCTGCCTACGAAGAAGTGATTTCCGACCTGTCAGATCAAGACTGGCAAAAGTGTTTTCAGAGTTGCTTTAGGCGAATGGAACTTTGTATAGAGCATGATGGAGAACATTTTGAAAAGATGTAAAATAAATATTAATAGTATCTAGAATACTTTTGTATAAATAAAAATTATTGAGTGGCGTACGTAGGGCCAAGCTAGCCTGTCGACCTAGCAGTGTGCGCGAGGTCGCATTTAAAGGCACGTGTGTGTGCGTGTGCAGGAGGTGAACCTGCGGCAGATCGGCGTGGAGCGCAGCGCGGGCGAGCCGTGCGTGGCGCTGCTGATCAAGTCGCTGTTCACGTGCATGTTCTGGGTGACGCTGCGCCAGCGCGTGCAGGAGCTGCGCCAGCGCCGCCGCTCCGCCGCGCCCGCGCCGCTGCACCTCACGCTCTCCACACCCGCCAGCGGTCAGCACACGCACTCTGCTGTTGCTAGTCCTGTTCACGTGCATGTTCTGGGTGACGCTGCGCCAGCGCGTGCAGGAGCTGCGCCAGCGCCGCCGCTCCGCCGCGCCCGCGCCGCTGCACCTCACGCTCTCCACACCCGCCAGCGGTCAGCACACGCACTCTGCTGTTGCTAGTCCTGTTCACGTGCATGTTCTGGGTGACGCTGCGCCAGCGCGTGCAGGAGCTGCGCCAGCGCCGCCGCTCCGCCGCGCCCGCGCCGCTGCACCTCACGCTCTCCACACCCGCCAGCGGTCAGCACACGCACTCTGCTGTTGCTAGTCCTGTTCACGTGCATGTTCTGGGTGACGCTGCGCCAGCGCGTGCAGGAGCTGCGCCAGCGCCGCCGCTCCGCCGCGCCCGCGCCGCTGCACCTCACGCTCTCCACACCCGCCAGCGGTCAGCACACGCACTCTGCTGTTGCTAGTCCTGTTCACGTGCATGTTCTGGGTGACGCTGCGCCAGCGCGTGCAGGAGCTGCGCCAGCGCCGCCGCTCCGCCGCGCCCGCGCCGCTGCACCTCACGCTCTCCACACCCGCCAGCGGTCAGCACACGCACTCTGCTGTTGCTAGTCCTGTTCACGTGCATGTTCTGGGTGACGCTGCGCCAGCGCGTGCAGGAGCTGCGCCAGCGCCGCCGCTCCGCCGCGCCCGCGCCGCTGCACCTCACGCTCTCCACACCCGCCAGCGGTCAGCACACGCACTCTGCTGTTGCTAGTCCTGTTCACGTGCATGTTCTGGGTGACGCTGCGCCAGCGCGTGCAGGAGCTGCGCCAGCGCCGCCGCTCCGCCGCGCCCGCGCCGCTGCACCTCACGCTCTCCACACCCGCCAGCGGTCAGCACACGCACTCTGCTGTTGCTAGTCCTGTTCACGTGCATGTTCTGGGTGACGCTGCGCCAGCGCGTGCAGGAGCTGCGCCAGCGCCGCCGCTCCGCCGCGCCCGCGCCGCTGCACCTCACGCTCTCCACACCCGCCAGCGGTCAGCACACGCACTCTGCTGTTGCTAGTCCTGTTCACGTGCATGTTCTGGGTGACGCTGCGCCAGCGCGTGCAGGAGCTGCGCCAGCGCCGCCGCTCCGCCGCGCCCGCGCCGCTGCACCTCACGCTCTCCACACCCGCCAGCGGTCAGCACACGCACTCTGCTGTTGCTAGTCCTGTTCACGTGCATGTTCTGGGTGACGCTGCGCCAGCGCGTGCAGGAGCTGCGCCAGCGCCGCCGCTCCGCCGCGCCCGCGCCGCTGCACCTCACGCTCTCCACACCCGCCAGCGGTCAGCACACGCACTCTGCTGTTGCTAGTCCTGTTCACGTGCATGTTCTGGGTGACGCTGCGCCAGCGCGTGCAGGAGCTGCGCCAGCGCCGCCGCTCCGCCGCGCCCGCGCCGCTGCACCTCACGCTCTCCACACCCGCCAGCGGTCAGCACACGCACTCTGCTGTTGCTAGTCCTGTTCACGTGCATGTTCTGGGTGACGCTGCGCCAGCGCGTGCAGGAGCTGCGCCAGCGCCGCCGCTCCGCCGCGCCCGCGCCGCTGCACCTCACGCTCTCCACACCCGCCAGCGGTCAGCACACGCACTCTCCAATTGCCACTCCTACTGAACCTGCAAACCTAAAAACCTGCTTAAACTACAATGTATTTATAGGAGTCCCGCGGATATAACATGCGAATTAAAATGTAAAGTAAAGTAAAGTATAGAATTTGACAGCAAAGGTAAGGTAAGTATGGTTTGACAGGAAAACTGTAACTCCGCGTTAGGCGTCTCCCACACAGAAGCGGCTTGCGGTGGTGGCCGCGGTGGCGGCCAGTTGTATTCGCTTGCAATGTAAGTGAGTATGCAAACTCGTGCGGCCTTGTCACGATCTGCGAGCGGCTGGCCGCGGCCGCATGCTCCGCCCCATTTGCCAATGCGTGTGTGTCAGCGAGTACGCGGTCAGTTGTAAATTTTTACAACAGGCCGCGTGTACCGCGTGAAAAATAGTGCTAAATTCAGAGATTTTAATAGAAACAGTGCAAAATTATCCAGTACTTTATGATAATTCGCATCGTGATCACAAAAGCATTAGTATTAAAACAAAATATATGATAATATTGCTGAATATAATAAAAACTTCGTCACGGTTTGTCATGTTCATACGTCCGATCGTAACACAGACACCTCAGCGAATGGCGCTTCAGGCCGCCACTTGGGCTGCGGTGGTGTGTTGTTACAGCGGCTGCAGCCGTTGTTAGCCGCCACCGCAAGCCGTGTGTGTGTGTGTGCGAACGTGCGAGCGTGCGTGCGTGCGTGCGTGCGTGCGTGCGAGCGTGCGAGCGTGCGAGCGTGAGTGTGAGTGTGAGTGTGAGTGTGAGTGTGAGTGTGAGTGTGAGTGTGTGTGTGTGTGTGTGTGTGTGTGTGTGTGTGTGTGTGTGTGTGTGTGTGTGTGTGTTTGTTTGTTTGTTTGTTCATGCGAGTATATATATTAATATAATAATTTTATTTAATTACTTTTATTCAAATAAATTTAAAGAAATATTTTCTGTTAGACGATGTTATTCATCTTAAACCATAGCTTTAACTCGAAACTATTAAGTAACCCCTTTTTGTAATCATGGACTGTCTTCACATTTTAAAGTACTTGTTATGGATGTATGTTTCAGGAGAACAAATTTCAACATGAAATATCATGAAATTTGGTCTATATTTTTAAATTTCTAAAACACGATTATACTGTTTTAAAATGATTTCTGTGTGTGTTTGTACACATTTTGTCCGTACGAATTATTTCGCCTTACAGAGAGACAGAAAAATTCGTACGTATCAATCTTGAATGCCGATATAGGACCTATTTTGAAGCTTAAAATTTTCACACCGGTAACTGAAAATGCTATGTAAAGACGGCTGTCAGTGCAAAACTTAGTGGTTATGTCATTTTTAATTATAGAGAAGACAACAACTAACAGTATCTTTTTTTAATAATATAAGAATAGCAGACTAAGTAAGTCTACTCGATGGTAAAATGCTACTTCAGTCCATTGAACCAAAGTAGGTTGTTATGAAAGATATATTAAGAAGTACTAAGATGTAATACTCACAACCTATAGTTATACTAATTCCACATATAACCTAAACACAGTTATAAAGCTGGAGCTGAAGATGAGAATTATGAAACTCCAGTAAACATATTTGTAATTTTCAATTTAAATTAGCACAGGTCTTGCTATCGGTAATTATCTAACTAAACTGAGGTTTACAAAGTTTGTTATTCACGTTTTAAACACCGAAATTATTCAGTTTGTTTCAGTCTATATTTACCTTCAAATTATTTGCAAATTTACGCATTACAATTTTAAATATTATGACTAGCACTGATTGGTAGCCACTGATTCTGTAATTTGTCGCAAGTCCACTTGGCTATTTCCTAGTGAAGAAATAGGAAATGTATGGTTATCAATATAATATCATAAAATCAAAAATACACTAATAAAATTGGACGTATTATGTCTGAACTATGATGGAAATGATTAAAAGTAGCTTAATAATACTTGGATATCCACTTTTAATTTTAATTCAGGATTCAATATATTAATTTCATATGGCCTTTATTAGGATTATGACATAGACAATAATCATGCGTGTTGTCATAAAAACAAATTTCAGCCAACGTAAGGCATGTTACTAATATGAACAATATCACAAATACAATTTTTATTATTATTGATTTGATTAAAATGTTGTGACCATTGACGAATGGTGTGTGGCGACTTACTTCAGTCCGCCATCACGTGACCTAAACATGCCCCAATTGCGAAGGTAATCTGTGTATACAATAAAAAAAATATAATCACTTTAACATCATATTATTTAATAAAACTCACATATTAAATCATATTTATTCTACGCACTAGCTTAAGCAAAACATTTATTTTGCTTAAGCTTGAACTCTCGTAAGTATTTTTATAGAAGTAATTTTGTCAAAATAGAGTGCGATTCCAACTTAATAGCCGCTGTGAGTTAGGCGAAAGATGCTACGCAATTTTAAAAACATCTTAGTACGCAATAGCAAATTTTGCTGCACAAGGTCGCGCGATTCTTTGATTGTTCACGACTGTCGTGTTCAAAGTTATTGTTGTTCGTTAATTATTTTGTCTCTTAACAATATTTGTGGTAAAAACCTTTGTATAACTCTTTACTGAATAAATAAATTAAAGCTATACGTATATGTATTAAGAATAGGAGTCATTTTACACAAATACAGAATAATATAAACTAGCCTTTTGTATAACTCAAATAAATATAGATGTACAAAATTTATGTTTTAATGATATACAACAGATTACCACAGTTTTAGACAATTTATTATATTATATTATTCATATTAAAAAATTGCAGCCGATAAAGGATTTATTTTCTACTAGCTGGTACTCGCGACTTCGTCCGCGTTGCTTATACGCATTACTGAACACGTAGTAGTGCTTATAAAAAACATTGTTTCTTAAAACTACATTAAATGAAGATATCGCAATATTTTTTTAGATAAGAGCCAAGTGTCTAGGAAATAAAACAGAAAACTTAATTGAAATCTATCCAGTAGTTTTTCCGTGATGCGCGCACAACTGCAAATCTCTATCATTTTATTTATATATAGTGCACTAAGAAAGCAGACATTATTGTTAACCTTACTGTACTCGCAGTTAATTTCACAAGCGTCATTAAGTTTGAATCGAGCAATGTTTTCTAAAAGAACAGTTTTTATATTTAATCACGTAATTATATTAACACGTCTTTATTTTATTCTCAGATGCAAAACTTACATTTTTCATTAAAAAATATATTTTTTTAAATTTTCTTTATATTTAACATTGAGATTATACTGCAGGTGGCACATTATGTGCACTGTTTTGTATAAAATAATTTTGTCCTCAATGCACCTGGAAAAGTACGAAGGAAGAAAGATGTAGCGCTGTGTACATTTCAATTAATGCGAAAAATAAGTTAAAACCATTCCCAATTTATTGTAAAAACCATCACTCATATATATTTGCATCTTAAATCATTGACAACCAAGAACATGGTTTTAGGTTCGTATGCGTGCGTACAGCATTGAGCTTTTACGAGCTTATAAAGAAGAAAAATGTGTGCGTGTAAAGAAGCTGAGTATGGTTTCGCCATTTTTTTAATAGTTTTTTTTTTTAGTTAGTTACAAACGATTAGAAGTCCACTTGATGAGAAGAGAATTCTGTGGCACATACACAGTTACATTTATCCTCCATTAAGAATGAAAATGCAGATACGATTAATTCATTCCATTTTAGACTTCAGTGATCAGGGGTGACACTGAAGACTAACATGGAATGCCTCGTTTTATTAATAGGGGTTTCCGGTTCTCCACCCTTACTATAGGAAACACAGTAGCATTCAGCTGTTATTTTACGCTGGTTTTCTGTAAGAACGTAATTGTTTCCCACGCTTCAGCATGGCTTCACTACGTATAATGAAACTAAAATGTAGGCAGCGCTCCATGTATCGTTAGGCTAAATTCAAATGACCGCGCGGTACAAGACCAAAGTAAATAGCGATTATCGTTTACATAACCGTGCGGTTCCGACCCTCGTGTAAGATTTTGAACCGCGAGTCACAGCGGGGTACCGCGCCGTGCAAGTTTTACGAACCTGTAACCTATAACAAGTTCTACGAACTGTTCAGTTGATCCGCGCGAGTTGAAACGGACAGATGCATAGATGCAGGAAAAATGATGGCAGACTTCCGCGCGTACGTATGCCGACATGTGAATGCTCCTACCGGTCATTTAAAGTTAGCCGTAGTTGTGGGTGTGAGGTAAAGCTATATGTAGTAATCGGTACGGTGCGTGTGTGTGCAGCGACGGAGCAGCAGAGTGCGGGTGCGGGTGCGGGCGCGCAGTCGCGGCTGCTGCGCGCTGTGGGCGCGGCGCTGCGGGCCGCGTGCGCGCGCTACTGGATCTACGTCGTCGTCATCATGCTCTTCGTCATCGGCGTCACCGGCGAACGCATGACCATCTTCCGCATCATCTACATGTTTCTCTTCCTCTCCTTCATACTTATGTTTCAGGTACGGACTTTATACTTATTACAATTCCGTTAACATCATATAAGACGTTTACGGCAAAAAATATATTATTTTCCACATAATCTTTTTACGAGTAACATTGTTCTGTCCACCCGTCTTTCCTAATGTATAACAGTATCCAAAGTAAATAAAAATTAAAAATATTGTTCTTTCGAAGGTCTAATTTTTAATTCATTTGCTCATCTTTAGATCTTATTTCCGAGACACAAATATATAATTTTAAACTCACTATCCCACAGTATATAAACTTGAGTAGCAACGTTTTTTGTGACTTTCATATCGCATATCAATTACACCTACAGTCTTCCTGATGGTAAATGGCTACGACAGTCCGTGAACTGCCAAAGAACAGCCAACTTCGAACACTAAGATGTAATACCTCACAGCCTGTAATTATAAAGACTCTATACCATTTAAACTGAAACACACAATATGAGCACTGCTATTCGGTGGCAAAAATATGTAGAGAATAATAACTACCCCAACTTTCAAACAAAAAGGAGCTCTACCGACTAGTAAATTATGATATATGTATATTCATTTACAATAAAACATTCATTTAATCATATATTTAATTTTCATTTCTTTCCACAGATAAGTTGGTACTGGTGGCGACGTTTAATGTACATGTTTTGGATAACAGTGATTATATACTCAATGATCAATCTTATACTCATTTACATATATCAATTCGATAACTTTTCCAAAACTATAGAGACCTATCTCATGATCAACGAGAGATTGTAAGTTTTTTGTTCTGTTAAACTTCATTTTAGCGTAATTTTTTAATTGCTGTAAAAATGTGAAAATTCAATCAGCTTATAAACCTTCAACTCCTTCGAGAAGGGGCTTCAATTATTTTTGTATTGTAGGTCATGAAGATCATTTTTCATTTAAAGTTTTTGTCTTCATAAAATATTTTAAAATTTTATCTCATCTAAAATCCGTTGATTTTAATTTCTTAATTTCAGGCAACATGATTTGGGCTTGGAACCGTACCATCCTGCGGACTTGTTTGTAAAATTATTGACGCCTACGTTGTTCCTTATAATAACAATCATGCAGGTTCACTACTTTCACAAAGACTTTATGGCGTTGTCTGATCCTAAAACAAGGTGAGTGTAATACTATTATCAATAATCATATTATTGAGTCAAGTTTTGTTTAACTACAATAAATAACTACAGGACAAACAGTGTTGCCAGAGAGTCCAGTCGTCCAAGTCAAGCAGGTGCTTCCACTATGAAAGACGATGTAAGTATAAATTGATTTTTATTAATTTTTTCATTGCCTGTGTTTGTATATATATACAGGATGGCCCATAAGTCCCTTGAAATGTAAAAAATAATTAAAAAAAAAACTAATGACATTATGAAAAAGGTTTTTATTTTGTCATAATCCTTATAAAATGGGAATTATTTTTTGAAAATTACATCATCTAAATGTAATCCGTTACGATCGCGGCACTCCTGTAAGCGACGTTTAAAATTATCCATCACTGCGTGGCAAGTAAGCTGTTTCTGTTTGCCATTTCTCTTTGGATATTTTCTTTCAGGACGTCAATTATCCGCGGGTTGGTTTTGTACACTTTAGTCTTAAGATAACCCCATAAGAAAAAGTCCATTGGGGTCAGATCTGGACTACGTGGTGGCCAAGGAATATCTCCTCTTCGAGAGATCACTTTATTAGGGAAAAGTTGACGGACGACCGGCATAGCGACGTTAGAGGTATGGGCAGTTGCTCCATCTTGTTGAAACCAGGTCCGCGTATTGAAGCCTGGAAAATTCTGCAACTCTGGTGTAAAAAAGTCCTGGATCATAGCTACATACCGTTGTGAAGTAACAGTAAGCGCGCGGCCTCTGCCGTCCTCAAAAAAGTAAGGGCCTATAATGCCATGCGCTGACATAGCCGCCCAAACTGTCACTTTAGGGCTATGTAAGGGCTTTTGATGTTTGCGATTTGGATTTTCGCAACTCCAGTAGCGACAATTTTGCTTATTGACATGGCCGTTGATGTGAAAGTGAGCCTCATCAGAGAATAACACGTTATTAAACGAAGTAAAGCGGTTCAACATTTCATTTGCGAAATTTAGTCTGTGGATAGTGTCAGTATCTTTTAATTCCTGTACTAACTGAATCTTGTACGGGTGAAGATGTAAATCTTTCTTTAAAATTCGCTGTAACGATGTTCTGGGTAAGTTTAATGCACTGGAACGCTTACGAGTAGACTGGGTAGGATTTTCACGAATTGAGTGTTTCACTACATCGATGTTTTCTTCCGTCCGTGATGTCCTTGGTCGACCTGACCGTTGTTTATCCAACGTCGAACCACTCTCTTCGAACTTAATAACCCAGTTCTTAATCGTTTGAACACTTGGAATGTCTTTAAAGTTGCGTAAATTCTGATATTCTCGAAATTTACGTCGCGCAATGGTAGCCGAATCATTGTTTCGATAAAACTCGCGCACACAAAATGCACGGTCCGCACCGGTGAAACGCTCCATGGCGACTGAATTCCCAGAAACCGTCGGTACTCCCCCCGCACCGCGCGCGCCACTCATGCGCGCCTTTTGTATTTTATTCGAAATTTACATTTCTAACGACTTATGGGCCACCTGGTACTTATGTATATTGTATTCGAGTAAACGCATTGAAAGACAAAATATTAAGTATTCATATTGTATCTGATACAATGTCTTTGCTCTATATATTCACATTTAAAATTCCTAAATCTATTTACATGCGGTTTGTTGTACAACACACAATATACAATATACGTGTATATGTTTTAATATGTAGTAGACCCACACTGCAGCGTATAATTTCCGTAGCACGAGAGAGGTGGATCGATCGGAGAAGCACTAGATTCTCATAAAATAGCAGCATAATGCTGTTGATTATCGTATGGTAAGTGGCGAGAACCAGAAATCATATTACTGTTAACGGAATATTCCATGTCGGTGCCCAGAGTTGACAAAAAATCTGCATTGTAGGTTACCGTGGTTCATTTACCATAAGAAGGACTTCGTGCTCGTTTGTCATGCTTACTTTAATAAAAAAACGATTTTTATGTAATTCATTTTCATAGATACTTATATGATAATTAAAGTAAATTATTGACAAAAAATACATTATAGTTGCCAGCGTTGCCCTTAGAAGAAGAACAGGCTGGCTCACTTGAAATGGATTCCAAAAGCGATACAGAGGCCGATCATTCCCTTGAGATGTCTTCAGTGAACACAGCTGCTAAACGTTCATTATATAGGTAAGGTTGTTATTTTTAACTTAATTCTTTAAATGAATTCAGCTTTTGGAGCATTATGCATTAGAATAGATTAGAACAATTTGTAAAATAATACGAGGGTGACACTGAAAGTTCTTAGAAAATCAAAAACGGAACACAGCTATTAGTTTTATAGTTATTACTTTTATTATATCTTTTCAAAATAGTGTCCATTTACATCAATACATCGCTGCATCCGACGGAACCACTGAGAAAAGTAGCTTGCCCACTCGTCCTTAGGGGTCTCTTCGACGGCATTTTGAAACGCCATTGCTTCCTCGGCGTCCATAAAACGTTTTCTTCGAAGATTTTCTTTTATTTTCGTAAATAAATAAAAATAGCAAGGTGCTAGGTCGGGGCTATAGGGCGGGTGACCCAGTAATTCCACGTTTGACGTCGCCAAGTAATCGATTGTTTCCTTGGCGGTGTGTGATGAGGCGTTGTCGTGGTGAAGGAAGCTTCGAAAGAAGCGCTTTGTGCCAGACCCGATCGAAGGCCTTCGCCAAACTAACGGCCAATGCCTCCCCCTTGGAATCTACTGCCTCCGCCCATCTATGAGTAAGGTAGACCAGAAGATCACCAGCTGATCGACCCCGACGAAAACCGTACTGGCGATCACTAATTTATTTTTTATTTTTTTATAAAAAAAGTATTAGTAATGCTATTAAACATTACTAATATTCCCTTTAACTACTTCTGCTAAGCTTAAAATGCTTATGTTAGAAGTGGTTAACGACAGTAGTCGAATGGCGGATTCGAAGCCACGACGTTCCGAGTTCGTGGTTCACGCTCTGCCATTAGGCTACTGACGTTATGAAATATAATCAGCTGGTGATCCTCAAGGTACCTCATGAGCTGGCAGTTTATAATGGATTCCATTATTTTGGAGAACAAGGAGGTGATGGCGATAGGTCTGTAGTTGGACGGGTGTGAGCATTCGCCTTTTTTAGGGATCGGGTGGAACAAAGCTGTCTTCCATGAATTCGGAACTACGCCTTGGGAGTAGGAGTACCGGAAAAGACGCGTTAAAACCGGTGCCAACTCCGGAGCACAGAGGAGGAGGGACTCCATCAGACCCACTCGGCTTGCTGATGTCCAGGGAGAAGAGTGCTTTGCGAACCGAGCGCTGTGTATACCGCACATCCGGCATCGAGCACTCAAACCGCGGTATGGTCGGCGGTGTGTTCCCCCCGTCATTTAGAGTCGAGTTGGACGCAAAAAGAGAGCTTAACAGATCGGCTTTCTCCTTTGCGGCACGGGCCAGTGAGTCGTCCTCTCTGTGCAGAGATGGAAGAGATGGCTGACAGAAGTTCCCTTGGACAGCCTTGGCGAGAGACCAGAATGCACGGGTTCCCGAAGAAAGGTGAACTAGCTTCTCGCCAATTCTGCCGATGTGCTCAGACCTTGCCTTGGCAATGACGCTTTTGAAGGACCTGGAGGCGGAATTATACTTCTTTTTAAGAGCGCTGGTATTTACATTCCGAGACGTTGATGCGTCAGCCCAGGCCCGGTAGCACTACTGCTTATAGCGTGATGCTATTTTACAGGAGCGACCAAACCATGGCTGGGATCTGCCTACGATGGGCACCACATAGGATGTAATAAAAAGCTCCATATCCTGAAGTACCACATCAGCAACAGAATCGGCAACAACGCTGGGATCTTCCGGCGAGAAGCAAACCCGCCCCTAAGGGTAGGATGCAAAAAAAGACCGCATCCTATCCCAATCAGCCGACTTATAGTGCCAAACACGGCGGCAGCCTGCAGAATGCAACCGCGACGTTAGTGTGAGTGGCACCACACTCCGGACAAGACAATGGTCCGACGAGCCTAAAGGAGTGTCGACGGGAACCTGATATCCGTCCGGATGAGAGGTCAGCAGAAGGTCCAACAGGGAAGGCGTTTGATCCTCCACATCTGGAATCCGCGTAGGCGAAGTAACCAATTGTGTCAGATCATATGCCAAGGCAAAGACATAAACAGATCTCCCCGCATGATCGGTTAAACGTGAACTGAGCCATTTGGCATGGTTGGCGTTAAAATCGCCAAGGACTACGATCTCTGCAGATGGGACCTGTTGTAGCAAGGAATCTGTAGCCATTTGGACGTGGTCGATGAATCGGTCTGTTTCGGCATTACCGCTTTGGGACCTATAGAGGCACCCGTAGATGCGCGGATGGTCGTCGCTGTCTGCGCGTAGCCAAACGATGGACAGGTCCGAACCTTCAAGACTGCCGAGGCGTCGAGAACTCTCTAACATACACGCAAACTCCAGCCCGAGGCACAAAGGAGTGCTCCAATTTGTACCCCGGGTAGGAGAGATACGAAATATCAGCTGGAGAGGAAACCTGCGTCTCGGTCAGAAAGAGCAAGGCCGGCTTGGCCGTCTCGAGATGGTAGTGGACGGCGTTTAGGTTAGAGTGAAGTCCCCTGATGGTGCAATTATGTCCCCTGATTCACGGATAGCGTGACAGGGATCGCCTTGGTCTTATTCCTCCGCTTGACACGAGCAATATTAGTCACGGAATTTCGCCCAGCCGCCCCCCCTCCACCCGAATACGCGGGGCAGCCTGAGCACCCACGCTCAGTAGTTTGCTCGTGGATTCTCAGCGAGGGATTCTCCAGACGTACTGGTACCCTCCTGGGGTAGGCTTTTGTTTAATTTCGCTACCATGGTGATGGGGAGAGGGGGGGGGGGATTGTGCCTCCGGCCACCTGCAAATGGCACCTGCAAATTGCACCTGCCTCTTCACTTTAGTTGGCAACTTCTCGGAAGGAAACAACCAGACAGCAGACTGTCTCTTAATTTCAGGATCATAACAATGAATCCAGCTTTGTCACACCAATCAACACGACGTAGTTTTTGGGCCTCTGTCAAATTATGAGGTGTCCACCGGGCATAAAGCTTCATGACCGCTAAATGTTGATGGAGGATTTTGTGCACTTGATTCATACCGATGCTAAACCTTGTCCGAATCTGCTGATAAGTCACTCTTTTGTCAGTCTCTATCATACGCCGCACAACACTGGTGTTATCTTCAGTCGTCGCCGTAGAAGGCCGTCTTTCACGCAGATCATTGGTGAGATTAGTGTCACCACGTTTAAACTCATTAAACCAGCTATAAACAGTGGAACGAGATGGGGCTTCATTGTGAAAGGCCAATCGAAGTCTATCATAACTTTCTTGTTGACTTAAATGACATTGAAAGTCGTAAAAATCATTGTACGAAAATTTTCTCCCGTTAAATTCATGCTGACGTGACACAAACGATTTTCAATTTGCCGCCAAGTCGTAAACAAATGCCAAATTAATAAAATACATACTCAATAATATTGGCCAAGGGTTCAATTTTCAAAACTTCAACTTATTTTTTTACTTTATCGTTTACAAGTGTCGCCCTCGTATCGCTACTTGTATAATAAAAGCGTATTAAAACGTTCCGCGTAGGAAGTCGTGTGGCGGCGGCGCGCGGCACGCGTGGGCGGCGCGCGCGCTGGCCGGCCTGCGGCGCCGCGTGCGCGGGCTCGCCGACCACACCTTCGTCTACCTCGACATACACCTCGTCAAGATCATCTTCCTCGCGCTCATGCTGCTCTGCGTCATCAACGTACGCCTTCTGCCTTTACACAATGAAAACTGATTAACGATGCACATGTAACGTTGTAATATTTTAAAACACTGTTCTATTACGTGATAGAGCCATGCTGCAGCTATATTAATAGTATAATTGTACCACGAATGGGCCGGCTCGACCGGGGAAGGACCACAGTCTCACAGAATACCAGCGTAAAATAGCAGCTCAATGCTGCCGTGTTTCGTATGGTGAGTGTAGAGAACCGGAGATCCTTTTTACTGGAAAAGAGACATTCTATCTTAGTCCTCGCGACTAACAACGCATTTGCATTTTATTCCGTAAACGAAGATAGATGTAGATGTCTATGGGCCACAGTAACCAGTTGGACTGTGTGCTTGTTTGTCACCCTTTTTCTATAAAAAAAAATCTGGTCTACAAATTAAACTTTTAATAAATAAGAGCCTTCAAAGAACTAATAATAATATAACACTAAAAGTCGGTGCTAAGACAAAGTGAATACAATAACTAAGGCCCCGACTTGTGAAGATATTGTGCGAAAATTATTTTTAATTCTTTAAAATATATTATTTATAGTTCTTTGAAATCGGCTTTTACTTTTTACTAAAAGTTTAACTTTTTAACACTTTTGAGTGACTAAAGAATATCACAAGCTCAAGGTAACATCTAGAATGTCTTCTAAATACTAGTGGCACTAAAACTTCATTCCCTATTTTCCAACAATAAAAAAAAATTAATTACACCACTCGATAGCCAAAGAATCAAAAAATTCTTTACGTTAAATCTTAAGTGTTTTTATAAGGTATAGCCACGCTGCAGCTATATTCTGGTTGTAGCACGAATGGATCAGCTCGACCAGGGTAGGATCACGCTCTCACAGAATACCAGTGTAAAATAGCAGCTTAATGCTGCTGTGTTTCATATGATGAGTGTACGGAAACCCTTTTTACTGGAATCGAGGCATTCCATCTCAGTCCTCAGGAGTGACTAAGCATCTGCATTTTGATTCTTTATTGAGGATAAATGTAAATCTAGTCTATGGATCACAACAACCATTTACAATCAGGTGGACTGCATGCTCGTTTGTCACCCTTATTCTTTAAAAAAAAAGTGAATGTGACCCACCGCGCGCGACGGAGCCACACCAATTTATATGAGTCCACCCCTGATGCATTTAGTTCATACTATCAAATTAAACCGCCTTCTTTTTAACTACTGTGTCCTTTTCAGGAATCTAATAAAATACGAACGAAGAATGTTCTTTAATTATAAATTTAACGCATAAAGGCATTTAATATTAAGGCCACAAAACATTTGATAGAGCTTAAATAGATTAATTTTTTATTGGCCATCAAAATTTGAAATGAAATAGTAATAAACAAAGACCAGTCTTGTTGTTTATTTACTTATCTTGCACTTCATCCGTATTATAATATGTAAGAAGATAGCTATAAATTATAATTAATTTTGCAGGTGTGTGCGCTGCATGTTCCAATCATGATAATTATTTCTCCAGCCTTACTGCTGAACTCCCGAAGACAACGTTTCTGCGTACTTCTTATTTCAACTCTTATTAGCATTTACCTAATGGCGAAAATGGTTTATCAAATTGAATACATCAAACACTCAATTTTCGACGTGAATTGCACTTCGGTAAGTATTTTTATGCTGCCAGTAGGACTAGAGTATTGTAGCAACATTTTTTTATCTTCTTGTTCTCTAATAATCTTTAGTAATCCACTGTTGAATATTAAGCCTGTTTAAAAATACTTCATTGACATCTATAACTTGAAAGAATTCCTAGCATTTTTTATGATTATTACCATGATTTACTACTATAAAATTGCTAAGCAAGGGAAAGCATTTGCTAAATATATAAAGCATTAGCTATTATGCAGACGATAGATTTTATAAAAACGGTTTAAAAAGACCTTTCTTAAAAGTTAGTTTACTTGTACTTAAAATAATGCTCATAAACATACCTTTGCATATCAATGGCGGTCACTTATCGCCAAATGTGGCTCCTGAATACACACATATATATATTTAATTTCTTATTTTTCAGTACGAAAATCCATAACTTAATTAGCCTAATATCATTAAAATACTAATGAGTTTTCTTTTCATTCAATTTTAATAAAATAAACACAAGTAATAAAACCTTATCTTAAATTTGTACTTAAGTGAAGTATTTTGGTAGGGATTCATAGCACCATCGATAAAATAAATCTCAGGCCAGAGAGGTAGACAAGAGACTACGGAGTATCATTTGGCACGATTTTGACATATCTGTCTCGCTTCTTCTACATCTATGTATCTACGTGTTAATTATAGATACTCTTGAGTTGGTCCATCTTCAATATATCGCCAATTCGGTAGATAAACTTCCGTCTAAGGTGTCCCTTGCCGACTCTACTACCCATTTAAATATTCTGTGAGTGGTATAAATTCATTGATCAGCTGTAACCGAAGTTTAGCGTTCGGAAGGTTAATATTTACCATACTAAGACATTTGACATGTTTTCACATATTTTAGGTTGGAGAAAACAACACAATTAATGTAACAACGTATAACAATGCGGAATGGGTGGGTTTCTACAAAGCGACACCCGACAGACCTCTAGTCGTGCTGCTAAAAGGATATATTGGTCTGATTGCCGTTTTTACATTTTACTCTCTAGTCACATATAGGCAGCAGAATATCAGGTTAATATTATTTACCTTTATTTTAGGTTATTTAAGTTATAGTTTTCACATTAATATCAGTATTGACTCAATGTGACTGATAAACTAATATTTTTAATAACTTTATGAAACTAAGGTATCTGTTTTATCTTTTAGAGATCAAGGTCTTCTACCTAGAGATGCGGATAAGTTAATGTTCCCGGAAATAACACGTAAAGAAGCTGATAAAGACTTGATCCACTGCATCAAATACTTAGTGAATTATGGTTTCTACAAGTTCGGTGTTGAGGTATTTTTTTTATTTTACTTTGTACAATCAAGACTGAATATGTAATATACAATTCGTTTTATTATAAATCTTATAATTAGGTTCAAATTTGTTTGTTTCATGACAAAAAGTTCTTCTTGTTTGACAAAAACTCTTCTTTAAGCTTGAAAGTCTATCAATAAACCATGTTTTGTATTAGACGGAAAAAAGTTAAGGACACCTAATAAAAAAAGTTACCAAACTAAGAGATGCATAGACATTTTTTTGATAATTTATAGCATAATATCTACAAATTGGAAACTGTCTACATATCGATATCGTCTGCATTAGATAACATATTGTTCTCCAGAAGACTAAAAAGGGATATAGGATAAACTATTCAATCACACTCTTAACTAATAGTTTACGTAATAAACAGATTCTATATAAAGAGCATATGAGATAAAAAAAATTAATATATTCCTAGGAAATAAAAATAAACTGAAACCTTGACACAATCAGAGACTTCAATCCTGTAGAAGCGGAAAAGGTAAAATCAGATTGTAAATTTCCGTTAGGCTAGTTACGTTATTTAATATTTTTTATTGGTCGCGTTGTTTTCGCTAGGCTCCTGAGTGTGATGACTTAATGTGAACGTTACTATGTCGATTCTCGATAAAGTGCAACTTTATCTTTGCGTAAAGATTTCACATTGAGATGCATCAAGTGTTCTTTAAAAAAGTAAAATTTGTGGGAGGAGCCAGGCTTCTCCGTGCCTCAGCTAAAGGTGGATATGTGGTGTGGTGTGTGCAGATAAGTTTGATCTGCCTGATGGGCGTGATCGGGTCGCGCATGGACTTGTACGCGGCGGTGTACGCGGGCTGGCTGCTGGTGCTGGTGTCGTGCGGGCGCTCGCGGCTGGCGCGCCTGTGGCCCGCTTTCACGGCCTGCGTGACCGTGCTCGTGCCGCTGCAGTACATGCTGGCGCTCGGCTTCCTGCCGCAGCTCTGCCTGCGCTACCCCTGGACCGGCGACTCGCAGGTGCGCACGCATGCACGCACTCCTACACGTACACATGCAAATAATAAAAGTAAAAAAAACCTTCGCTCAAAATTACTAACATTTCTCCTCTATTTCTCCCAGGGTGTAGAAAATGTCACGAGACATTGAGTCCGCCCATTGTACCCCCTCCCCCATTAATTTTTAAGAATAAACAATTAAATATAATTTGACAAGTGTCACGGAAGAAGTTATTTATTTATTTTTCAAAATGTATCTAAATTAAATATTTGAATTCAAATATTTAAATATTAATATACCATTATTGCAGTTTTTGAAAATACGTGTAAATAAGGCTTCTTCTTTTATTTCAAATTATACCAAATAGAATGTGATTTATGGGCAACAACTACAACGTACACGCGTTCCTATGCGTGCGACTTTATTCACAATGTTTTTGCCTACTATTTACTTAATGACACGCTCACTAATGCTTATGTGATAACTACATGACGCGAATTATGGTTTCAATTTTTTATCCATACTTTTAACGGGCTTAGGACCATCACAATAAATAAACTGAAAAAAAAAGATATTTTTGCATATCAACGACGTCGCCGATGACTGTCATTATTATGACGTATTTGAAAAAAAAACTATTAACAAGTATATTACAAAAGTAGTGGGAATACTTAATTAATTTATTGGTACCTCAAAAGGAAATCTTTTTCTGTGTATGCATAGACGAGCACGTTTTCTTAAATAATGTTTTACACTCTTAAATATGTTAGAGCACTTTTAACTTTCGTGAATGCAGCAATATTTTTGCTACGGCGTGTTTACGTCAAAGAGGTCCAAAGATATAACCTCTTTGACGTAAACACGTCTCTTATTTCAGCCCACAGATAAAAGTCTAACGGTGAAAGTTTCGGAGGCTTGTCTGGCCATAGCATAGGGCCTCCGCATGCAAATCCACCTATGCTTCGTATTCACTATTTAAATAATCTTGCACTGCATTTAAATACTTTGGTTAGCTGCCAATTGTTCTTCGATTGGAGGTACATATGCGTTAATTTCTCGCCTTTGCAAATGCGGTTAAGACACACCAAGTCAACTTTCATTGCAAAAATGTGTAGTAAATGTATAGTATTCGCGGTTCGAATATTTTCGTTACGTCATTGCTAATTAAGTGACAAGTAATACTACCTAATAAAATTTAAAAGTAGCACACTCGTACGTAATGAGGTCACGATTAACACTGTCAGCTGTCGGCCGGTCGGGCGGACGTAGGTACCTAGTGGTGTAACGGTTAATAAAAGGGAACGGCGCAGAAACACGTCCGACAAGCAGTAGCGAAGCCAGGGCTTCAAACTAGGTCAAGCAGTTTTATAAAAATAAACCAATCTTGATCTGTCTCCCCTCTTCAGTTTCATATTCAGTGTTGCCGAGGACGTGTTTAACAAAGCACACAGGAGGCATTTTACTGCTAGATAGATTGTTTGACATATCAGCAATTACATACCTTCGGTGGCTTTGAAAAAAGCCGTTTGAGTTTGCTTGAGCGAAAGAAAAAGATATTTACATACAACACAATGCATGAACAAAAGAAAAGCATGTACAAAGTACAAACAAACTATGTACAAAATTAAAAAAAAAATAATTATTTATATTCTAAATCGAATCGTCTCTCTTTCTTAAGGAAAGATTTGATAACGTCCGCGTAAAATGTTGCTGAAAACATATATATATATATATATATATATATATATATATATATATATATATATATCTCTCAACAAAGGTTAAAGATTTTACCTTTTCCTCGCTGATTAGCACTTTAACACACTTCAATTCATCACAAGGAATATTGTTATCCTCCATTTTCACTAATTTGCTCCTTTTGGATGTATGCCTCGTACTGGTAGGCGTAGGTAGGTGTAGGGCGGTCACTAGATGGAGTGACGACCTGGTAACATATGCAGGAAGTCGATGAATGCAGTGGGTTCAGAACCATGATTTGTGACATACCTTAGGGGAGGCCTATGTTCAGCAGTGGACTTGTGAAGAGCTGTAATGATAATGATGATGATGATAGATGAACGTATGTATGTTACAGAATGATTATTTTTGTGTATATGTCAATAATAATAGCAATAGAAATATTTCTATTATTATTTTTATTATTTAAAATTAATATATATTATATTTTAATATATTATGTACACTTTATTTATGTATTTTGTTTCACACGTGCCAACAATTGTCTTTAGTATCCAGTGTTGACTGACAGAGAATCCACATGGCATTAATTCTGCCCTATGTACCCTTTACTTTAAGGTGACATTTAAGTTTTAAATAAATAAATTATTGTAAGTGCAAATAATTCTCTTTTAAATCAATATTCTGTTATTTTACAGCAAATGAAACACATTCGCACATGGCTATTTCTACCATACTCGCCGGAGGCGCCTCATGCAATAAAACTCATTTTTGATTACTTCTTGCTGCTTTTTGCGACGCGACAACTCCGAGTCTTCAGACTGGAGAGCACATACGGCGATGCTTATCCAGGAGGCTCTAACCGCGAGGACATCGGCAAGGATTGGGAAACGCCTAACTTTGTGAACCCTGTCCCTGATTTCCTCGGATATGTTGGGTGAGATTTAATGCGTTCATTCTAAGTTCCGTGTGTGACCTTGTCAGCTTAAACATTTTATAAACCTTAAAAGACAACCAAATCTACAGTCCACCTGATGATACATAGGCTGCACTAAAAGTACCGGGAATGGAATATTTCCACTGTTTCTGTCATATTAAAATCTTTTTAATTGAAAAGTCCTTGGTTTTAAAAATCGAATACCATTTATTTATTTAAAAAAAGATTCTCGGTCTTGTCACAAGGTTTTGTCAAACTTGTTTAGTCGTTGAGAAAATGGAATTGACTCGAGAAAATTCAAGAGCGATGATTTATTATGACTTTGGAAGTGGTTTAACACAAAAACAGTGTGTTGACCTGATGATTTCTGCATTTGGTGATGAATCCCCATCCAAAACCACAATTTATCGCTGGTTTGCTGAATTTCAACGTGGACGTGTCAAGCTCAGTGATGATCCCCGTCAAGGTCGTCCAAAAACTGCAGTCACCCAAGAAAACGTTGATGCTGTGCGTAAACTGATAGAGGAAGATCGACATGTGACATACCGCGAAATTCAGGCAAGTTTAGACATTGGCATGAGTCAAATACAAATAATCTTGCATGAACAATTAGGTGTAAAAAAGTTGTTTTCCCGATGGATACCGCATTCGCTCTGTTAAGAGCAAAAAGCGGCTCGCGTTACTTGGTGCGACAGAACCCTCGAAAGATTCCACGCAGGATCCTCAAATGCTGTATACAACATCGTATCAGGTGACGAATCCTGGATATACGCGTACGAACTCGAAACAAAAAACCAGTCACGAGTTTGGGTGTTCGAAAATGAGTTAAAGCCAACAAAAATTGTTCGTTCACGGAGTATTGCAAAAAAAATGGTGGCCACGTTTGTCTCCAAAACCGGCCATGTTACGACTATTCCTCTTGAGGGACAAAGAAGGGTTAATGCAGAATGGTATGCTAGCATTTGTTTGCCACAGGTCGTTTCTGAACTCCGTAAAGAGAACTGCAACCGCCGCATCATCCTCCAAAACGACTATGCGAGTTCTCACACCGCACACAGAACAAAAGAGTTTTTAGAGCAAGAAAACATAGCATTATTAGACCATCCGCCGTACAGCCCCGACCTAAGCCCTAATGATTTCTATACTTTCCCTAAAATAAAGAATAAATTGTGTGGACAGAGATTTTCATCACCTGAAGAAGCTGTGGACACCTACAAAACGGCCATTTTGGAGACCCCATTTTCCGAATGGAATGGTTGCTTCAATGATTGGTTCCATCGTATGGAAAAATGTGTCAAATTTCGCGGAGAATACTTCGAAAAGCAATAAATACATTTTTAAATAGTAATGTTGTGTCACTTCCTTGATTCCCGAAATTTTCAGTGCCGCCCTCGGCCACGGCCACCAGTAGCCTACTTCAAATAAAGAAGGCTACAGATGTGTTGTCATCTATGAGAGCTAAGATGGAATCCCTCACAGCCCTTCTTAAATCTTTTGTATTTAGTTATTAACTCTTTCAAACAATACTTTAGCCACTGTCAAATATTTTTTAATCCTTTTTTAATTTGTTCACTAAATTCTTTAAAGTTTGCCCATATGTCAAATACCAAAGCTTTTTGGAGGTTTTGTCGTCAGACTAAGTGACCAGAGAATTTAAATTTGTTTTTTTTTATAAAATAGGTTAACAAACGAGGACACAGTCCACTTGATGGTAAGTGGATGCTGTGGCGTGTGATGTGTGTATATTTATCCTTAATTAAGAATCAACATGCAGATGCGTTGTCACCCCTAAGGATTAAGATGGAATGCCTCGTTTCCAGTAAAAAGATTCTCCGGTTCTCTACACTCACCATACGAAACACATAAGCATTAAGCGGTCAAGCCGACCCATTCGTGCTACCACCACTATATAGCGTGGCTCTATAAAACGTATCTCAGGGAACCAAAATGGACAAAATAACTCGGATAGCCTACCCTAATGAGTACCAATTTCCGTACCATCAATTAATACGCTCAGACATTATCATCAATTAATATCATCAATTATTAATGTAGCTCACGCCTGACTCCACGGAACTGTAAAAACAGCACAAATATCACCAAAAAACGAAGACAAAATAACCCGAGGTTTTATCGCCATGAGAGCATTTGTTTCATCATTTCCAATTGTGATTATTCAAAGAACACACCACTACATTTTTCGTGATAATTTTAATGACCTATAATACCCTTATATTATATTTAGTAACGATTGTAATATTATATTGAATCAATTTGTTCTAATTTGCAGATCGTGGCTAGACGTCATCAAACGCATGGTGTTCTTGGGCATGCTGTGGGTAACCTTGGCCATCATGTTCATGACGGGCACAAACCGTGTCAATCTGTTTTCAATGGGCTACCTCATAGGTTCCTTCATTTTCCTATGGCAGGGAACCGACTTCTACCTTCGTCCAAAAAAGTCTATTTTGCAATGGTACATTTAACATTGACTTTTTACTATTTTTATTAACATTATAATATATTAATCGTATTACCTACGACTTGCTGCTTGCTTGGAAATTGTTCGGGGAAGAATGGAGGTGAAAACCGGAAGGCCTAAACATAAAATTTGTATATCAATCATTACTAAAAAGTGTACGAACTATCTCTTGAGTTTTTATGCATTTGGTCTTTTTTCTCTCGGAGTTAATAGGTTACAGGAAAAGTTCATACGCTAATTATCAAGATAGAAATATCGTCAAACTATTCAAACTAAACAACTAGCAAAATATTAAGTCGTATTAAAACAGGATTATTTAATATTAAAACATGATTTACTTTTTTTTTATAGGATAGGGTGACAAACGAGCACACAGTCCACCTGATGGTAAGTGGTTGCTGTGACCCTTAGACATCTACATCTATCCTCGTTTGCGAATCAAAATGCAGATGCGTTGTCACCCGTGAGGACTAAGATGGAATGCCTCTTTTCCAGTAAAAAGGGTCTCCGGTTCTCTACACTCACCATACGAAACACAGCAGCGTTAAACTGCTATTTTACGCTGGTATTCTGTGAGAGCGTGATCCTTTCCCGGTCGAGCCGACCCATTCATGCTACAACTATACTAATAATATAGCTGCAGCATGGCTCTACCACGTAATAAAATAAATACTTTAAATATGAAATAAAGTAAAGGTTTTAAGGTAGATATATACGAACTTATTATCCAAGTGTCAGTCACCCCTCTAACACATGTACTCAGTTGATTGATGAATAAGTCTCTAGCCATCGAGTGATGAAAAATCTCTTAAATATGCCAAACCCAAATTCCCCAAACAATGACCACATAGAAAAAATAAAATAAAATATTATATTATTATTTCAAATGAATGATAAAGAAATACAGCAAATGTTCTGTATATTCACCTTCAGGTGGTCATGGTTACTGCGTTACAACGTGTGCGTGGTGGTGGTGAAAGCGTTGCTACAGATTCCGGGCTGCATGTTCAGCGCGGTGATGCAGGAGCGCGCCTGCTGGCTGGTGCAGCTGCTTGGCATCGGCTGCGTCGACAAGTTCGCCGGCGGCAACATCGCACGCTTCCTCAAGATGCAGTACGACAAGGTGAGCGCCACTGCACATTCAGCTGCAGCGCGGCAACATCGCACGCTTCCTCAAGATGCAGTACGACAAGGTGAGCGCCACTGCACATTCAGCTGCAGCGCGGCAACATCGCACGCTTCCTCAAGATGCAGTACGACAAGGTGAGCGCCACTGCACACTCAGCTGCATCGCGGTAACATCGCACGCTTCCTCAAGATGCAGTACGACAAGGTGAGCGCCACTGCACATTCAGCTGCAGCGCGGCAACATCGCACGCTTCCTCAAGATGCAGTACGACAAGGTGAGCGCCACTGCACACTCAGCTGCATCGCGGTAACATCGCACGCTTCCTCAAGATGCAGTACGACAAGGTGAGCGCCACTGCACACTCAGCTGCAGCGCGGCAACATCGCACGTTTCCTCAAGATGCAGTACGACAAGGTGAGCGCCACTGCACACTCAGCTGCAGCGCGGCAACATCGCACGCTTCCTCAAGATGCAGTACGACAAGGTGAGCGCCACTGCACACTCAGCTGCAGCGCGGCAACATCGCACGCTTCCTCAAGATGCAGTACGACAAGGTGAGCGCCACTGCACACTCAGCTGCAGCGCGGCAACATCGCACGCTTCCTCAAGATGCAGTACGACAAGGTGAGCGCCACTGCACACTCAGCTGCAGCGCGGCAACATCGCACGCTTCCTCAAGATGCAGTACGACAAGGTGAGCGCCACTGCACACTCAGCTGCAGCGCGGCAACATCGCACGCTTCCTCAAGATGCAGTAGTCCCGTGGGAATACACTATGAAAAAGTCTACGAAAAATGCATAGTTACCAAAAAGAGGCTTTATAACCTACCCGTAAGTCAGGTGTAGTCACACCGGCTACGGAGAGCAGTGTTAAAGTTTTGAGGCATATGACTTTTGACTATTACTTGAGTCTATGACCGTCAATATACCTACCAAGTGTGGTGAATACGGCATAGTACTAAAGTACCTTTCGAAATGTAAATATACTACTCTGTCAAGAAGTACCGGGAAAAGATCAATAGTACACAAAATGTTCATCCAAGTTGTACACAAAATGTTCACTCAAGTTTATTTTATCACCTTCAAAGTATGCCTCTTTAGAAACGATACACTTCTTCAACGAATAGTCTAACCATCCAAACATTTTTTAAACGATTTTTAAGTTCTGTTCTCGCTGCGAATTATCCTTTATGTCTTCTACCAAATGAAAACGGGTGCCACGAAGTGGTAATTAAAAAGAGTTTAAGAAAAAGAAAGAAGTCGGCTGGAGCCTTATCTGGTGAATAAGGTGGTTGCTCTATGGTATTTGTTGAGCTTTTGGTCAAAAATTCGTTCACAATGATGACCTTGTGCGTAGGTGTGAAGCAAAGTTCAAGAATTTTCTTTCGACAAATATGACTTTTTTGTCTGATTTGCTCTCTTATACCTCGTTTAGACTCTCGCCTCGCGGCTCGCCTCGTACCTCGCCTCGCAGCTCGCGTGTTGTTGTGAGGTAATGAGTGCCTGTTTACACTCTCGCGATGCGGTCAGTTTGCGTTGAGCCAGCAACGATGAATGACGTCGAAATAATAGTGGCATCAACTCTTGCCTTAATAAGTATTTATCGATGTTTGACCATTTTAAAAAGAAGGAAATTAATAAAAATACGTCGTTGAGGAAGAATATGACGGATGATGTCTATTCATCGAAAAAGAACCTTTTCAGTTTCATAATTTTATATAAATTGCTAGTACCTATTGTGCAAGATTAGATAATATTATTTTATTAAAATAGTAATTTTAAAACAATAGTAATTCGAATGTTATTATGGAAGGGCGCCGTAAACAAACTGAAACGAGACGCGAGTGTAAACACCACGCTCGCGTCCCTCGCGAGGCCCTTTGCCTCGTGCCCAAAAAACCGCCTCCGACGCGAGCGCCGCGGGTGGCGTGGCGAGCTGCGGGGCGAGCCACGAGCTAGCGTTTACACTCGCGCCTCGTGGCTCGCTTCGCAACTCGCCTCGTCGCTCGCGCGAAAGTGTAAATGGGGTATTAAACGTCGCATAACGGTCAAATAATATACTTTATTTACCGTTTGACCTCCCGGCAAGAATTCCGAGTGCACAACACCGCTATAGTCAAAGAAAACAGTCAACATGACTTTGACTTTTGATCGACTTTGGGGTGTTTTTTCGATTTCGGTTTAATTGGAAGGCACCACTCCGAAGCTTGTTGACTAGTTTGCATGTCAAACTCGTAAAACCTTGTTTCATCACCAATAACAATACGTTTCATGAATGTTGGGTCGGAATTGACTCGTTCTAGCATGTCCTCAGCGACTCTTATTTGATTGAGTTTTGGAGATAATTCAGGTCATTTGGGATTAGTTGAGCGGCAACATGTTTCATACCCAAGTGATTATTTAAAACTAGCTTTTGGCCGCGACTTCGTCCGCGTGGATGTTATACTTTAAACCATGGGTGACCCAAAAATAATTGCACTTTCATAATAAATTCCATCACTCTCTTTAGGGATGATTTCCATGATTAAAGCTATCCTTCCTTTTTATTCCTTCCCCGGGACTTAAACTATCTCGATACCAAATTTCATCTAAATCAGTTCAGCGGTTTAAGCGTGAAGAGGTATGTTTGCTCACGCGGCGATGAGCAATGTTTTTCCCCACCTCACCCGCAGTACGCCCGTACACAGTGCGCGCGCCGGACCTTTTTTTCGACTTACTTAACACTTATCGTTATATGATGACCAATTTACACAATATCTTTATTAATTATAGCCTATGTGTTGTTCTGATGTATGAGCTATATTACTGTAAAGTTTCATTAAGATACATTCAGTAGTTTTTGCGAAGAAGAGTAACAAACATCTATACATCCTCACAAACTTTCACGTTTATAATATTAGTAGGAAGTAGGATGGTACGGATCGATTCGTGAGACACAGAAAATTCGGCGGCTATCTCTCTCAAACTGGACTTTTCAGTCACTATTTTCTTCACTTTTGCGATGTTAACTACAGTTGCAGACGTCGATGGCCCACCAGAACGAGGCAAATCTTCAATCACATGTCGACCGCTTTTGAACGCTTTGTAACACTCATAAGCACGTGTTTTTGATTAAGTCGATTCACCGTAAGCCTTTTCTTACATTTTCAGTGACTCCGAACACGGAATTTCATTGGCGATGCAACATTTAAGACAAACTCTTTGTTCAATGTTTTTGTCCATTGTGAAATTCGCAATACACACTAGATATATAACTAAAAACAACACTGTATTTCATCTAAATAACAGATGTAACTCAAACTCCGCGCCAAAATGGAAAATAGTTGTGCCAATCTAACAACAAAAAAAATATTTGGAACCATAAACAAATCATTCATACCCGATACTTTTTTTGACTGAATGTACTTCTTGTCCTCCCTTCGATATTATTGGTGTGGTAGATTGAAAATGTGGAGGTCACAAGAAGTATTTTTTTTTAGTAAGGGACGCTTACAATTAATACCTTTTCTTTACACTGGAATTAGAAAGTAATTTAAAACTTTTTTTTGCATAATTCTTCATAATGCAAGGTTTTTGGGAAAGTTATGACGACAGCTTAACCTACCGGATAGGCGAAGACATCAGTAGCTCAAGATGCTTCGCAAAATAATTTCAGATTTTTTACACCATCGAAGCACTTATTTCGTTTTCACTAATAGTTCATATGCGCAGACTTATAGTACTGAAAGTCCCATAATTTTTACGTAATTAATCTAGATTAATTACGTAAAAATTATGGGACTTTTTTTTTACCCTAAGGTTCGATCCCCGACACCGCAATTGAAGTTGTTAATTACAATCTCTTCCAAAAATACTTTATAAAAAGCTTGTGTCCAACGTAATATAGACTGATACTTTAGTTTTTATTTTGTTTTTTGAACATTTTACAACATATATATTACATTTCATGGAGTGAGAAACCCTTCGAATCCGTCGAAATTTCGGCGCGACCAAATTGACTGTCCGTATATCGAAGTACTGAAGTGTTTGTACAGTAGGGCTACGATGGCTATCCGATTACAAAATCAGAGTACGAAATCCATCCAACTGCAGCAAGATGTAAGACAAGGTGACATTATATCCCCGAAACTCTTCACCGATGCATTATAAAACGTTTTAAACCTACTGGACTGGAAAGCATACGGTATTAACATTAATGGCGAATGCATCACTCACCTTCGATTTGCCGACGATATAGTCCTTATGGCAGAATTGCTTTAAGATCTAAGCACTATACTCAATGACCTCAATAGTTACTCCCAACGGATAGGTCTTAAGATGAACATGGACAAAACAAAGGTTATGTGTAAAGTCCATGTCACACATATTTCGGTAGTTGTTGGGAGCACTACGCCCAAAGTTGTTGACTAAGTAAGCAGTAGCGAAGCTAGGGCTTCAAACTAGGGCAAGCTCAAGATATGGTTTTGTTGTTTATAGCAGTTTTATAAAAATACACCAATCTTGATCTGTCTCCCCTCTTCAGTTTTATATTCAGTGCTGTCGTGGACGTGTTTAACAAAGCACACAGAAATTATACTACTGCTAGATAGATTATATGACATATCAGCAATTGCATACCTTCGGTGGCTTTGAAAAAAGCCGTTTAGTTTTGCTTGAGCGAATAAAATAGATATTTACATACAGTACAGTACATGAACAAAAGAAAAGTATGAACATACCAAAAAACTATGTACAAAATTAAAAAAAAAAATATTTATATTCTAAATCGAATCATCTCTCTTTCTTAAGGAAAGATTTGATTACGTCCGCGTAAAATGTTAGTGAAAACATATGCATATATATTTTTCAATAAAGTTTAAAGTTTTACCTTTTCCTTGCCGATTAGCACTTTAACACACTTTTCATCACTATTATCCTACATTTTCACTATAAATATTTAAAAAGCATAAATTTTCAACTCGCAATATTCATTCGCTCAAGTAAACACACAGATT